AGCAGAAGCTTCTGGACAGTTAAGGACTATGCTTAAAAATGGCTCAAGGGTAACTTCTACTGCATCTTTTTTTTTGGTCAAAGCTCTCACAGGTCCTTCTAGATTGAAGAGATTGTGGAAATAAACCCTATGTGATGATGAAGGAGTGTCAAGATCACACTGGAGAAGAGCCTGTAGGATAAGGGATATCAACATGACCATCTTTGAAAAATACAATTTGCCACATTCGTCAAGGCAAAATTAATCTCCTTCATGTGTTTTCTGGGACTTCATTTCTTCTTTTTGTTTTTTACATTGATTTTCACCTGTGATCCCAGGGCTATTTTGCAAGGGATCTGTGAAATAACATGCATACAAAACTTTGGGTAAATAGGATAAAATTATATTACTTAAACACACATAATTTTTTTTTTTTTCGGAGACGGAGTTTCGCTCTTGTTACCCAGGCTGGAGTGCAAGGTCGCGATCTTGGCTCACCGCAACCTCCGCCTCCTGGGTTCAAGCAATTCTCCTGCCTCAGCCTACTGAGTAGCTGGGATTACAGGCACACACCACCATGCCCAGCTAAATTTTTATATTTTTAGTAGAGACGGGGTTTCACCTTGTTGACCAGGATGGTCTCGATCTCTCGACCTCGTGATCCACCCGCCTCGGCCTCCCAAAGTGCTGGGATTACAGGCTTGAGCCACCGTGCCCGGCCAACACATAATTATTTTTAAGGTATATGTAGATGATTTGTGATTAAATTTACTATATATTTTTAAACAATCCATGTTAGAAATTCAAAGAATATAAAAGAATCTGCAAATTTTTGTTTGTCTCTTTTTACTAAATAGGGTGTTTATTGGGCACAAGGACTTATCTTGGTAACCTTTGAGTCCCTAAAATTTAGCAGATTAAGTTATATTTAGTAGGCACTCAATAAATTTTGGCTTTGCTTGGTTACAAACTTTACTTAAAAATTTAATCTCTACCATTATTTATACAGTCAACAAATATATATGAAGCACTTACTATGTTACAAATGCAATGGTAGATGGTAGGAATAAAATAGTGAGAAAAAAACCTGTTGATAGCTTAGAAGGATAGACAGATATTGATTACTGAATCACTCTAAAGATGTAAACTTTCCATTGTTGTAAGCTCTTTGTATTAGTTCACCGGGCTTGCCAAAATACATGATCACAAACTGGGTAGCTCAAGAAACAGAAATGTATTGTCTCACAGTTCTGGTGTTAAATGTCCAAAATCAAGGTGTCGGCAGGGTTGGTTCCTTCTGAGAGATGTGAGGGAAAGATCTGTTCCAGGTCCCTCTCCATGGCTTGAAGATGGAAGGCTTCTCTCTGTGTCTCTTCACATCATCTTTCCTCAGTGCATGTCTGATTCCCCTTTTTAAAAAGTCATCAGTCATACTGCACTAACACCTACCCTAATGATATCATCTTAACTTGATTACCTACATTAAGATCCTATCTCCAAATAAGGTCACATTTTGCAGTACTGAGGGTTAAGACTTGAACATAAAAAGTTGGCAGGATGCAATTTACCTCAAAGATAAAGTTCAAAGCACTGCGAGAACTCATAATTGGGGTATTTGAGGTAGGGTAGCCCAGGAAGTCTTTTTTTAGGGAGTGAAGCTGAGTGGAGACCTGGAGACTGAATGAAAGTTTACTATGTAAAGAGGAAAGATAGCTTTTCTGGCCATGGATATGATATGTGTTAAACCCCTCATTGAGGAACTGCATGGTGAATACATATGGCTAAAAGAAGGCTAGCAAGGCTGGGGCAGACGGTGACATGATCAGATTTATATATTTTAAAATGTGGTGAAAATCTGAGGCCTATGGTGATGTCATTTTTTTTTTTTTTTCTAGAGAGGATTTGTTTGTTTCTCTTGGGTGGCTGTGATTACCAGCAATCAAAAATTAATGCAATCTGATCAGGACTAGAGATGATCTCCAGACAGGCCCTTGGACCATTGGTTTCCTTCCAGTTTGCCCTTCTCCTGAGATGTACCTATTTAGGGTCCTGATCTAAAACCTAAGGGGTTTATCAGAGCGGCCCTCCTGGACAAGGGATGTGGGAGTGTCCCAGACTCCACGTTGTGTACTTCAAGAGTCTGTCAAAAATTCTTATGAAGTCCTCAGCCTCTCTTGCATTCGGTAGATGCCCGTAGGCATGGCTCCAAATGCCAGGTTCATCTCTCTGCATTTCCTTTTCCTCTCAGCAGTGGTATTAGTTCAAATGACCTATTATAACATCACCTCAAATGACTGATAAATTGGAAAGAGGCAAGATGAATGCTAGTAAAATATACAGGAAATTTGACATTAGTTAAACATAATGATTCCAATAACGAGAAGCAGAAAGGTGGACATAAAAAGAGAGGGGTAGATGGAAAAACACTGTAAGGTAGAAGTGGCAGAACTGGGAATGGAGTATCAAGGAGAGACGGTGACTCCTAGCTTTCTAGTTTGAGCAATTGGATGAATGGTATATTATTCAATTACATAGGGAATATTTGGAGAGAATTGATGAGATGGGAGGCAACAATCACCAGTTTGAATTCAGATCTGTTGATTTTGAGGTGCTTTGAGACGTACAAGAAGTTATATCACTTAAACACTTGTATGCATGAGCTTGAAAAACAGATCTGGACAGGAGAGAGAAATGTTCACATCATCATATGGAGAAGACAGACTTGGATGGAGAGTTGAGAAACTCCAATATTTGTCTGCCTTTGCAACGGTGAAAGAGGGAAAGTGGGACTGGCCAGAGACGTATGAAGAAAACCAGAAAATGAAAGAAGGTTAATGCTTCCAGAAGGTCTAGTTAACAGTATGGACTACTGTTGAAAATTCAAGTGTGATAATTATATACAGATGACTTTACCAAATGTAAGTTGCTAGTGAGGAGAGGTAGGAAACTACCACAACCTATATAAAGCTACTGGGAGGGCAATATTATAAAGCTTTAAGAAGACAATAAACCAGAAAAAATTCTTTGTGATCTCAGAATAGGCAAAGATCTCTTGAAGAAGACATCTGTGGTTGCATTAAAAATAAAATGACAGTGCTCGCTTCAGCAGCACATATACTAAAAATAAAATGACAATTACTGATTTATTAATAATAAAATTAAAGATTGATGAATATGGCCACATTAAAATGAACAGCTTCTCATCCTCAAAATAGGCTATACCATAGGGTATACCATTTAAGAAATGGTACAAAATGGAATAAGGTATTTTTAATGTTTAAAAATGACGAAGACTCTATACTCAGACTCTGTGAATAAAAAAGAAAAAACAAAAAAGAAAAAAGATAGACAACCCAAAAGAAAATGAGCAAAAGACCTAAACAGACACTTGGAAAAAGAGGAGATCCAAATGGCCAATCAACATATGAAAAAGTGCTCACTGCACTCCAGCTTGGGTGACAGATTAAGACTCTGTCTCAAAAAAACAAAAAACAGTGTTCAACTTCTTTAGTAATTAAGCATATGCAAATTAAAACCATATTCCTCTTTGACTTACCAGTTCCCACCCTCTCACTCCACAACAATAAAAAGTTTGAGAACATCAAGTGCTGGCAAGGATGAATTCTCAGAAGCTGCTGGTGGTAAAACACATTAGTACAAAATCATGAAACAGTTTGGCATCATAAAAGTGAAGGTACATAAACTTTTGACCAGATATTCCACTCCGTGTGTAGAAATGGAATTTTAAAAAACAGAGTTCCTGCCCAAAAAGTGTTCTTTGAAGCATTGTTAACATATTCCCAGACAAGAAACGACTCAAATGTCCTTTGACAGTAGAATGGATAATCTGTGACCTTTCATTTAATGAAGAATCATACAGTATTAAAAAATGGATGACCGGCCGGGCGCGGTGGCTCAAGCCTGTAATCCCAGCACTTTGGGAGGCCGAGGCAGGTGGATCACGAGGTCAAGAGATCAAGACCATCCTGGTCAACATGGTGAAACCCCGTCTCTACTAAAAATACAAAAAATTAGCTGGGCATAGTGGTTCGTGCCTGTAATCCCAGCTACTCAGGAGGCTGAGGCAGGAGAATTGCCTGAACCCAGGAGGCGGAGGTTGCGGTGAGCCGAAATCGCGCCATTGCACTCCAGCCTGGGCAACAAGAGCGAAACTCCGTCTCAAAAAAAAAAAAAAAAAAAAAAAAAAAATGGATGACCTGAAGTTTACATGTGATCATATAAATGAATCCCATAATACTGTCTTAAAGAAGCAAGATGAAAAAAACAAGCAAGCAAGCAAACAAACAAACAAAAAACACGCAGAGAGAATGTGATTCTAACTACAGGGTTCAAAAATGGGTAAATGGCTGGGCACAGTGGCTCATGCCTATAGTTCCAGCACTTTGAGAGGCCAAGGTGAAAGGGTCACTTGAGCCCAGGAGTTTGAGACCAGTCTGGGCAACATAATGAGACCCCCATCTCTACAAAAAACTTAAAACTTTTTAACGAGTAAAATTAAAGTATATTGCTTAGAAATATGTACAACTAAGTGATAAAACTATAAAAAAGCGAGAATAGGTTATCACAAAAGTCAGAATAACGTTTACCTCTATGTGTGAGGGGACCGTAACTGGGGAGGAGGTGAAGTGAGGGGAGTTTTGGGGGAATGACATGGTTCTACTTTTTGACCAGAGTAGTGGCTATAAGGGTTATAAGGTTATAACGAATTGCTTTCTAATTATTTTGTAAGATACATACATTTTATGTTCTTCCTGTTTGAAAATTATCTCACTATAAAAAAGTAAAAAAAAAAAAAAAACTACTTCTAAAATTATATTACTTTATCTTGAATTAATTTTGCTATTTCATCCACTGACACTTTTCAGCAGAAATTGATTAAGTCAATGTGACAAATGAAGCTAGTAAAATGTAGCCACACATGTTTCATTTTGCTGCTAAAAATTCCCTATATTTGTGGAATCAGATAAAGATTTAATTTTTTTTTTTTTTTTTATGTCTAGGTTGGCTCATTACAAGCATGCTTTCTTGCAAAGAGGAATTTCCGGGTTGATCTATATGAAGCTAGGGAAGGTACGTCCATGGTGAAAATTGTGTGATGAAGGCTGGGTGTGGTGGCTCCCAGCATTTTGGGAGGCCAGGGCAGGTGGATTGCTTGAGGCCAGGAGTTTGAGACCAGCCTGGGCAACATGACAAAACCCTGTCTCTACAAAAAATACAAAAATTAGCCTGGTGTGGTGAATGTGCTCCTGTAGTCCCAGCTACTGGGGAGGCTGAGGCAGGAGAATTGCTTGAACGCAGGAGGCGGAGATTGCGGTGAGCCGAGATTGCGCCATTGCACTCCAGCCTGGGTAACAAGAGCGAAACTCCGTCTCAAAAAAAAAAAAAAAAAAAAAAAAACAACAACATTTAAAAAAAAAACACCTATTTCAATTTAATTTAATATAAATGTACTGCTATTAGCGTTTTCTTTAGAAGAGCTACGAAGGTCTTTAATTTGGTTCTGAATGAAAAATTGTTCAGGCCCAGTAATTTTGCTCATCCTGGACTAGGATATAAAGTGTGTATAACATCGAGTTCTGCTTCCAATGTCTCAGATATTCGAGTGGCTAACTCCACACGTGGAAGAAGCATTAACTTAGCCCTTTCTCACAGAGGACGACAAGCCTTGAAAGCCGTTGGCCTGGAAGATCAGGTACTGAGTGTATTTTTTTAATAGAAGATAATACCTGGTATTTTTCAACAATTGCTTGGATTTCACTTCATCCTGGCTTAAAAAGTACCATTTAATGCCAAGAATCTCTGCATGAAAACTCATTCGACTAAAGCTTTTAAAATTCAAAACTTGTTGGCAAGAGGGCAAATATTGGAAACTCGGGGCACCCCAGGGGGATCCTGCAACCAATGATTGCTTCTAATATTGGGTTCTCAACAGGGCGGTGCATCATTGCCTGTTTAAAGTGAGAGTCGAGGTGGCATCCAGGATAAGAGGAGCCAAATTCCTTTTTTTTTTTTTTTTTTTCCAATCACACAGACCCATAATCTCTTATCCACAATTCTGTACTCCAAAAAAAAAAAAAAAAAAAAAAAATCTCTGAAAATAGAAAGCTTCTCATCACTCATTGAGTAGCAAAATCTGACCTGACAGGAGATACTTCATAGTCTTTTAAAAATCTCATTTAGCTGGGCGCGGTGGCTCAAGCCTGTAATCCTGGCACTTTGGGAGGCCGAGGCGGGTGGATCACGAGGTCGAGAGATCGAGACCATCCTGGTCAACAAGGTGAAACCCCGTCTCTACTAAAAATACAAAAAATTAGCTGGGCATGGTGGCGCATGCCTGTAATCCCAGCTACTCAGGAGGCTGAGGCAGGAGAATTGCCTGAACCCAGGAGGTGGAGGTTGCGGTGAGCCGAGATCGCGCCATTGCACTCCAGCCTGGGTAACAAGAGCGAAACTCCGTCTCAAAAAAAAGAAAAAATAAATAAAATAAAATAAAAATAAAAATAAAAAAATCTCATTTAGCATAAATATGTTTTGCTAAAAATTTTGTGTTTGATTATGGGGTGGGCTTGGGAGATAGCCAGCATATATGTACTACACTACTTTCTAAAATTGAAAAATTCTGAATTCTGAAACCATCAAGCCCGATGGGTTTGACTAAACAATGGTGAGCCTATAGTAGATTTTCATCATATGAGATTAATATTGTAGAACTTCTCACTGTCTACATGTAGCTTGGTAATATAAACAAACATGTTAGATGTATTTTTCTTGATACTATTTTCAGTGACGATGTGTCTTTGAGCTGTTAATACAAGTAAATATGAGTGCTATTTGCATTGTTATTATTTTCTCCCAGATAGCAACAGCCGTGTGTAAGAAAACATTTTGCATTGAATGTTAGAAGCCCCAGGTTTTACTCATAATATCTCTTTTTGTCATGATGACAAAATCACTTAACCTCTCTAACACCAAATCACCTTCCTCGATCTGTGATATTTGATTTAGATCAGATAAATTTTAAGCCAGTTCTAAGATCTAAGATTAAAAAAACAAAAAACTAAAAGCTTCAGGATCACCGTTTTCACTGAAGGAGTTTCTACCATGTTGGGCTTCTATGGTTCTCACAATTTAAAAAAATTTTTTGAAAATAAATGAAATTTAAAAAAATATTTTGGAAAATATATGAAATTACATTTAAAAATCAATTTCTATCTTTCTTGCATAATGCCATGTTACTGTCATTGAAGTCAGTATTTCTGGTTTCATTTCAGATTGTATCCCAAGGTATTCCCATGAGAGGAAGAATGATTCACTCTCTTTCAGGAAAAAAGTCTGTAATTCCCTATGGGACAAAGACTCAGGTAGGTTTACCCTGGAGATCATTTTTTGTGCATTGATTGTAACTAAGTCAACATCTGAAACTTGCCTCTTGCCTGGTGGCCGCTCCCGCTCCAGCCCTATCTCTGACATTGCTTGGCTCAGTCTAGACCCCAGGAATAGATACTAGTTAGCAAGTTTATTCAGGGGAGATGCTCAAAAGAAGGCCCAGCCAAGAATAAACATTCAAAAAGAATTCGCTGTTACTGTTCTTAGTGTGCAGTTTCTTGCCTTTGTGCTGCCCTACTACCAGGGACACCCTTTCCCTCTTTTCTCCTTTTCAATTAACTAGAGATGACTATCTTATTTGTCTTCAAGCACAATGTGCAAGAACAATCTAGAGGGTTTCATGATGTTGTTGCCCTTCCCCAACTCACCCTGTTGCTCAAAACTGGGCTTATAATAGAATGTATAGAATGATCTAGAAATGCTTACAGTACTACATGATTTCTGAAACAACAGAGGCCAGATAAAGTTGGAAAGTTTACCAAAGGAGAATCATTATCCTGCTTTGTGCTTTCCTTATCTTTCACATGGGAACACACAGAACGGGGAGAAATACGTATTTTATCTAATTATACTTTCTGATTCTGTTTCTTGAGAAAGAATGAATGCACCAAACACCCACCCACAGGAGAAAAACTCTAACTTGCTTTATTTTTATCCAGCCATGCCTCCTTTTATTAAGTGCAGAGTCTGAGTGAGATTCATATCCAAGTCTCTGACCCTCAGCAGAGCTCGCATTGGAGGTAGACCTGTGTTTCTCAGACTCACATGGAATCTTGTGAAAATGCAGTCCGACTCAGCAGGACTGGGGTGGAGGTAGAGGTTCTGTGTTTGTAACAAGCTCCCAGGTGCTGGTTCATGAACCACACTTTGGATAGCAAGAGATAAAGCACATATGTTCATGGGAACAAGATCTTCGTGGCTCTTGGGATGATCAGTGTGGCTGAAAGTAAAACATTCCATCTACTCAGGGCTTTGGGAGTTGAGGCAGGCTCAACACTTTCTATTTAATGACTTTTTTAAAAAAGCAATGTGCTTATTTTGGCCTTATAAAAACATAGGTACAGAGTCTTAATACAGGAGGCTGGCAGGGGGAAAAAAGACACAGAGTCACCTTCAGTGGGATAAACATTTTTGGATAATTAACATGTCCTTTTAATTGGCCCCCAATTGAGCTAGGTGCTATAGGAAAGACAAAAGAATTGTCTCTCCCCAACAGGCAAGTAAGATTTACATAACCAAGTCAAATATAAGCTGTCTGTATTAAATGTGTCCTTCCAGTAACCAATAATTTCCCTGTTGCATGCCATGCCCTGAGCAAGTTGCTGAGGGTAAAGGAAGCGCTTGTAGCCTGCGGGGGATGGATAGTAATCAAATTCATGGGAAAAACCCTTGGGTGAGTGATGGCTCAGACAAAGAAATCTGAAGTGATTCAGAGAGGGAGAAAAGTTTTAGTTTTCAGGGAAGACTTCTCAGAGAAAGTGAGATTGGAAACCAACATTTTGTTTAAATCTTAAATTGGCAGCAAAATAGTTGTCCCAATCAAATGGGGATGTATCTAGGTAAGGAAATTGGATGAGATCAGATATCTAAGAAACGTACATTTTTAAGTGCCAAGTGTGTATTGGATGAGAAAACTTGTAAATACACTTTAGCGTGACAGAATCTTACAGTGACTCATTGAATCCACCCACCATGGTTTACAGATGAGGAAACAGGCTGCATGACTTACATGAGGGTAACGCTGAGGAAGAGTCAGGCAGGTTTCGTCACAGGAGCATGGCCCTTACACGTGGTGCAGGAGCCCTGGGGGGTACTGCTCAGACGCATCTACTTCTTTCACTAAGTTGAGAGTAAAATCAACTTAATCATCCCACTGTTCACTTGTATTCACAAGGGATGCACTGAGGAAGGCCACGTCATCACCGCCATCCCCGCTTCAGAGACTGAACCAGTAACGCATCCATAGATAAGATACTCTTCAAATATCAGAAAAGCTAAATGAGGAGATAGACTTGGGCCTGACACCATCACCCTTACCACTGTGTGTGTGTGTGTGTGTGTGTGTGTGTGTGTGTGTGTGGTGTATGACAGAGAGAGAGAGAGAGAAAGAGAGAGAGAGAGAGAGAGAGAGAGAAATAGAGAGAGAGGGTGCATACATTCCCCAAGAGAGTGAGTGTCGGTGGAGTTCCCATTTTGTGGCCTTCAGTGCATTACAAGGAGGAAATGGCCCCTCCCACATAATTCCTGCTACTTCTCAATTCTTAAGAACTGAGTTAATGCTAAATTTACAGGTGCCCTTCATACTGCAGTAAAATACAGGGGCCTCCTTGCTCTTTAAAAACGACATACAATTGCTTTAACTGGTCAGTTCCACAGCCTGTGGAAGCGCAAAGCCATTCCCATGACTCCAGGGTTTCTCCCTATCCCCGGGGAGCCTACTTCTCTTGGCTTCCTTTGCCTCTTGGTACCCTACTCCTTCTCACCTGGTGTTGGCCACGTACCATGGTGGTCTGGATTTGAAATCTCCTCCACAAATTCCCACAGACAATACTCACTCAAATGACGCATGAGTCTGCTGAAGACCTGCGGGTCATGAAGAGACCTCCTTGTGCGCGGCATGGGAAATGACTTAGAAATGTCTAATCTGCAAACGTTGGCCTCCAAAATCCTTTCTGACTCCCTTCCCTGGCCTCCTCCTTCAGCTGTTTTTTCTTTCTGAATTTTCTCCGATGTGATGTCCAGACTCCTCTTGTCTTGCTGGGTCCTCCCATCTTCTCCCCAAACTGCCCTGGAAACTGTCAAAATATTCCCTAATGTACAGAACAGGTCAGAGCTCCCCAATTCTTAATCCTAACATCCTATGTTCAAAATAGAGAAATGGCTCCCCCTTACTAGAAAACAGTCTCATTTGAAGGCATTGAGAATAGAGAAAATAAACATGTTTTTCTAACATATCTGAGGTAGTCAGTACTACATATAACTAACGTCCTACGGATCTTCAGAGGATGATGTATCTAATCTTTCTTAGGCCTTACTATTATTTTTTTCTGTTAAGATAGAGGCGACATTATAGCTCTTGACTTGTTTATTCTTCTTTATTCTGCATCAGACCAATCTTTTAGAATAAATATTGGAGAAGTATTACTTGATGGGAATGACTCAAACCTTTGGTTGCGATATAATACTGTCCAAAGATATGGAGTAGGCTAGAAAGGCACATTCTGGTGCTCCTGCAGGGCTGACATGTCTATTAGTTCCCAGATGAATGATGTGGAAAGAAAATATTTTCCCCATGTAAATTACTTTTCATAATTTGGGCCAAGCACGGTGGCTCATACCTGTAATCCCAGCACTTTGGGAGGCAGAGGCAGGGTGGATTGCTTGAGCCCAGGAGTTGAAAACTAGCCTTGGCAACATGACAAGACACTGTATCTATAAAAAAAATTAAAAAATTAGTTGAGCAGTCCCAGCTGTTTGGGAGACTAAGGTGGGAAGATCGCTTAAGCATGGGAGGTTGAGGTTGGAGTAAGCCATGATCACACTACTACACTCCAGCCTGGGCAACAGAGCAAAACCCTGTCTCAGAAATTTTTTTAAAAAATAAAAATTAAAAAACCTTTATAATTTGAATGTTTCCTAACAGACTTTAAATAACAAGCTTGATTTCTGTTGAAATACAATCTATTAACAACCTAGCTTTGAGGCAGAGAATGAAGATGTTTCTGTTCATTTTAAATTATACAAAGACAGGAAGCCCCTTTTCAGTCATTGCCATTGACCAAGTTATTCTGACACCAAGTACAGATTTGGCTGTTAATAGATACTTCTACTTTTGGATGAAGTGAGAAATTATAAATTAGCATATATGTATATATTACATATAAATTATTATATGTGTTTATAAATTAGTGTGTGTGTATATATATACATATATATGTATATATATACACACATGTCAAATTGACTTTAGTTTATTTTTAAATCAGAAGGAAAAAAGTGGCTGGGTGTGGTGGCTCACACCTGTAATCCCAGCACTTTGGGAGGTTGAGGCAGGCTGATATCCTGAGATCAGGAGTTTGAGACCAAGCCTGGCCAATGCAACGAAACCCTGTCTCTACTAAAAATACAAAAATTAGTTGTGCGTGGTGGCAGACAACTGTAATCCCAGCTACTTGGGAGGCTGAGGCAGGAGAATCTCTTGAACCCAGGAGGTGGAGGTTGCAGTGAGCCAAGATCACACCACTGCACTCCAACCTGGGTAATGGAGCAAGACTCTCTCAAAAAAAAAGAAAAAAAGGGAAAATAAAGCATTGTAGGCCCTTAGGCACTGTGATTCCCTTGCCTCATGGAAGGGTCAGCTTTGCTGAAATGTCCTATAAAGTCAGAAACAACCAACCCAGGTCTCATGCGAAGACTGGTCCTACTCCTACCAACCTTCACCCCTACCGCAACCCCTCCCCCCCCACACCCCTTTTACATTGAAATGAAGGCATTCAAAGTTGTCTCTTTGGGGAATGGCACTTTGATTTTGGTGATACTGTCATCACTGAGGTTTTTCTAAGAGCTAAATTTGGAGACTTAAGCTGAAAATATTTGATTATAAAACAAAACTTTCTTGATGAAAATTATATTTTAGCTGCAAGAGAAGGATTTTAATTTTAAAGTATTAAACTTTGAAGAAGTCTAAGTGTAAACTTGGATATTGTATTATATGTGTTTGGTTAAAGTGGTTTTTAAAAAAAGTAAAAAATAAAAAATAAACCAAAGGTCACTTAACTAAATGATTATAAAACTAAGCTTGCAACCCTCTGCTAAATAATAAATACATTTTACTGCTGAGTGAATAACTTAGAATTATATTTGTCCATTCACCAGAAACAAACTGTATCTACTCTACTTTTCTTGCAGTATGTTCTTTCTATAAGCAGAGAAAATCTGAACAAGGATCTATTGACTGGTAAGTCTAATGCTTTGATTCACCAGTTGTCATTTTGAGTAAAACACATGACATTAATCTTAATGGATTTGTTTGCTGCTCCTTTTTATGGGTTATGAAGAGCAAGACTGTACATTACAGGGTCCTTCTTGAAGCTATGTATGATAGCTCATGCCTGTAATCTCAGCACTCTGGGAGGCTGAGGCCAGGATCGCTTGAGCCCAGGAGTTTGACACCAGCCTGGGCAACATGGAGAGACCCCATCTCTACAAAAAATAAAAAATTAGCTGGGTGTGGAAGCGTGTACCTATAATCCCAGCTACTCAAGAGTCTGAGGTGGGAGGATCACTCGAGCCAGGGAGGTCAAGGCTGCGTGAGACGTGAGCAATGTGATTGTGCCACTGCACGTCAACCTGGGCAACAGAGCAAGACCCTGTCTCAAAAAAAAGAAATAAATAAACAAAGTCCTTCTTGAAAATACCAATCGCCTACAGTTTTTAGAGACAAGGCCTTGCTGTCGCTTGGGCTGGAGTATGGTGGTGTGATCACAGCTCACTGCAACCTCGAACTCCTGTGCCTAACTGTCTTCCCACCTTGGCCACTCGAGTAGCTGGGACTATAGACACATGCTACCACATACAACCAACTTAAAAAAATTTTTTAAAGGCAGAGTCTTGCTATATCGTTAATTTTGGTCTTGAACTCCTGGCTCAAGTGATTCTCCCACCTCAGATTCCAGAGTAGCTGGAATCACAGGTGCTAACACCCATTGCACTGGCAATTATCTAAATTGAAATCATTTGTTCAACATATACTGCACCCCCATGGTCTCTTAGACACAGAGTGAGTAAGTGCTCACTCTGATGAAGAATTCACACGCTAATGGAACAACAGATAAACTCAAACAATTTGTAAAGTGACACAATGAAATTTGCCTTTTAGAGAGATGAAAAGCTATAGTGGGAAGACTAAGAAAGGGTTGCAATCTTCAAGGCATTTCCATAAACTCTGGGTGCAGAAGAAGGACCCAGGAATAAAGCTATAGTAATGTAGCTGGAGAATAGGGTGTCGGTTCATGATATTTGTAAAAGAATAAATAGATAGGGAGAATAAATAGATAGATATTTGTAAGAGAATAAATAGATAGATACAGAAATTTGAAAAAGAGAAAGGTGTAAAACATAACCCTGAACTTTTTAATTTGTGTAACCAAAAAGGCCTACCTATTCATGGAAAAGCCACTGGATTACAAATTAAATTTGTAACTTGCATAGTCAATCCAATCACACCCCATGTAGCCCTTACTAAGTTTAAGCCTAGATTGTAGTAGCTTTTCCTCCCTTCAGCATTTGTATTAAGCAGATTTATTAAGCATGCCACTTAATATTTCTACTATCTTTAAAATTTGTCCCTTGTGATGGAGACCAGTAGACTCTGATTTCTGAACAGAGGCTCTCCATGATTTATCTTTGTTTCTCCTCAATCCCCTCAATACATCTGCTGAATGGAATTGAATCTAATGGGATTAAACTGGGAGGAGGAGGGCTATGAGGAATTTCACTTTAGTTGACTCATCAGATGCAAGAAAGAAGGTTTAGTATTGTTATTAATCTTATTTCTTTAGGTATATTTGTCAGACTGCCTTCTGGATTGGTAGATGGGTGGAGTGGAGCCAGTTTGCTAGGTATATTCCGGTTGATCTCAAGAAAGTAAATGAACCAGCCAGGTGCAGTGGCTCACATCTGCAATACCTGCACTTTGGGAGGCTGAGGAGGGAGGATGGCTTGAGCCCTCCAGAGTATAATTGCACCACTGCACTCCAGCCTGGGCCACAGAGCAAGACATCAAATCTAAAATAGCAAAACAAAACAACAACAAGAAAACCCCACACAAAACAGCTTTTACAAAAAGCAGTATAGCAGACCTATGGCACTGTCTTTCTAAGACCCTCCCAATTTATCAAGATAAAAATAATAGCAAACATTCATTGAAGCACCAGGCTCTATGTCAAGTGTTTTACGTGCATAGATTTACGTAAACCTTCCAGCAACTCTATGGAGGGAAATTATTTTTGTCTCTGGTGAAATGGAGGCTTAGAAAGCTTGGATCACACTGTTAATAAGTGGTAGAATCTGGATTTGAATTTCAGTTTGTTTATTCCAAAGTCCATGCTTTTCACTATTAGCGATTTCTTCCTCCAATATTATATATAAAACATCTGCTAATATGAAGGGGCTAAAACATGGGAAAGGTGCAATCTTGGTGTACACCTCAGAAGTTCCCTGAATTGTTTTTCATCAGGAGTGCTCTGCATGGCATGCAACTTCATAAATGCCATAAATATGTCTGTAAAATGAATGCTGAATCTCTCGACTCATCAACTTTGTTAGGCACATAAAGTTCGTTCTTTCTTTACAAGGCATCAAATGTCAGAGGTTTTCATTCCACATATTTAATCAATTAGAAATGCTCATTTCTCCCTAACTGCAAAACTTCCCCTCTGAAAACACTGTCACTACATGATTTCCCTATATCAGCATTTCACGTGGGATTGTTTCATAGCTCATTCACTATTCTGCAAAATGTTAGTAATTGTTAAGCCAAGCAAAAACAGACAAAGGATGTGTGAACAAATAGGTTTACAAATCCTGCATTAAACAAGTTTTCAGTCTTTTTCCTTCAGTACTTCTCAGGGCTTTTATTATATGCTTGGTCTGCATGGTGGATCTTTCGGAGCAGCATAGTCCAACATGTGGCCACAAATACCAGGTGCATGTATACTTTTCAAATTGATACTAACCATGATGAAAACAAAAACAAAAACAAAAAAGAAGCAGGTGGTATTATTTTTAATCAGATATTTTAACCTAGGCCAGGTGTGAGGGCTTATGTCTGTAATCCTAGGACTTTGGGAGGCCAAGGCGGGTGGATCACTAGAGGTCAGGAGTTCAAGACCAGCCTGGCCAACATGGTGAAACCCTGTCTCTACTAAAAACATAACAATTAGCTGGGTGTGGTAGTGGGCACCTGTAATCCCAGCTACTTGGGAGGCTGAGGCAGGAGGAATCACTTGAACCCGGGAGGCAGAGGCTGCAGCAAGCTGAGATGGCGCTACTGTATTCCATCTTGGGCAATAAGAGCAAAACTGTCTCTAAATAAATAAATAAATTTTTAAAAAGATATTTTAACCTAATACATCCAAAATATTATTGTTTCAACATATAATCAGTGTCAGAAAGTTATTCACTGTCATTCCTTTTAAATATATTTTTTGTTCTAATTCGCCAAAATCCTGTGCAGGCGAACACATCTCAACTTAAGATCGCCACACTCCAAGCACTCAAATAACTACATACAGTTAGACACCAGGACAGCGCAGACTAAGACAGAGTATTCACCATTACTCTGCTGTCTTTGACAAAAGAACAGTTTTTTTAGGGAGCATACATATCCCAGGACTAAAGTTCTATAAAAAATTTATTTAGGATGTAATACCATACACTTACGTAAAAAATAAAAATAAATTTTTTTAAATTTTTGTTTCACAAATATATGTTAGTGTTTCTAAAATATATCCTTAGTATATCAGGTCAACTCTGATTACTCCAAAGTTATTTGTTAAACTCTTTCTTACATATAGATGAATTTCTTTGGTATAGGGTCTCAGGTTTTGCAAGAAAGCTAAAATCTTCAAACCCCAAATCTAACTGAAACAAAATAGAATAAAGTAAGACAAGATTGAGACGAAGAGGGGAGATAAGTACAGACAGAAATATTGAGTTGGACGGCAGAACTCCTGGCTTATTTTCCTCATTTTTTCTAATTCAACATTCTTTTTATTTACTTTTTTGATGTACAAAAACTGTATGTAATTAATGTATGCCTCTTGATGAGTTTGGTTCTTAATGTTTTCACTTTGTGTGACCTCAGGCATTTTACCTTTGCTTGCAGAATCTTGGTCACTCCCTTTTTAAGATGAAGAACTGAATCATCTTGGAGGTCTATTCCAGCTCCAACACCTGTATTCTAATTTGTACCTTTAAGAACAATAAATAGGCTGTGTTTATTGAAGAGTACATGAGCATTAATAGGGACAAGATCATATTTTACTGTTGTAACAAGAACATGATTAATAGTTCATAAAATGAAATCCACTCAATTCTCTAGAGCACTAGCAGGCAAAACAGAAAATTACTAAAATAATTGGGTTTAGTTTGTTGAGAAGTTTTAAAGCTTCTTACTCATTTCCCCCCAGCTATTCCAGTGTTTGATTTCAAAGAGATTTAAAATCAATAACCTCTATTTGTGACAACTTCAATCAAAAGTCCAGAAAACTAGCTAAAAAGGGGATGTAGAGACATGCATATAAGTGGAAAAGGGTTTGACTGAATATTTCCAATCACAGTAAAGCCTCAGATTACAGGCAACTTCTGAAATATGTGATGCTTCCTTCTTTCCCAGGGTACTAATAATTATAGCAATGCAAGAGTTTGCACAATGGAATTAGTTGGATATTTTCTTTTTGAGATGAGGGTAATTGATTTTTATTCATCTGTTTTACTGCCAAATTATACTGAAATCGTTGCCAAACCGTTGTCAAATTATCATTCAAGTGAATTTAGTTTTACATTGTTATGAATAAAATTCCTACCATACTGTTCCCAGAAAACAATTAATATTTCAATTTGATCAAATGAAATAAGAATTGAAATTTCACTTCTGTTTGCCTTTCTTCGTTTCCTCAGCTGTTGAGAAATATCCCAACGTGAAAGTGCACTTTAACCACAGACTGCTGAAATGTAATCCAGAGGAAGGAATGATCACAGTGCTTGGGTAACTACGGGTCAGGTTTTGGACTTCAGAGGTGAAAGCTGCGAGTGGAGAATTCTATCCATAAACTTTTTCTTTGGCTCTTTTGAAAGAGTTAAAAAGTTATTGAAAGGGTGATCCAAATAGTTTCTAGATTCAAAGAATTTTATATTGAAAATAGAGTCCTGATGCCTTCTGAACACCAATGCCAATAATTCTTAATTCTCGTGCTCACTTACCTTCCTGCTGTACTCTGTTCCACACTGGTGACTCTAAAATGCTTCAAACTCTCTCCTCTCTCAAAACGAGGTGACCTTCCACTGCTCTCCTCCTGCTCTCTTTTCAGGTGCTATTTCTCTGCCTTTACTCGGATGACTCTATTTTCCCTGAAGTTCGAAAGTCTCATATCCCACTCTTGCGATATTCTATGGATCCACAGTCCTGGGTTCAACAACTACCTCTCTAAAATAAACATTCCAGTCAAAGCCTCTCTCTTTGTTCTAAATCCTTATAGAAGCTCTAATCAATTTATGTCAATTTCCCATTGAACATCCTTGCTGGAACATCTGGCCATTATCTCAAACACATCTAAAACCTTGATCACCTACTTCTCCCAAATCACATCCCATTCCTGACTTCCCCAGTAACAATGCCCAGATAATTAGAATCATTTGCAATGTGTTCTTTTCCCATCCTCTCTCATTAAATCTATAACACTCCCCAGTCTTTCTTACTTCCTATTGGCTTCAGAGTCTTTTCTTTCTCCTTCCAGCTGCCGGACAGTACTTCCGGCTCTCACCCCTGCACGTGTGATCTAATATGTTGCTATTACCCCATCCCTGTTTTTGGCTCCCTTTGGCATTCTGCCTCTGCTTCAAACTGCCAAGGAAGTTTTCTTAAATTACAGCTCTTCCTATGTCATTCCCCTAATAGAAAATTTCAGTTTCCCCTTCCCCAGAATAATGTTTTAAGATCTTTTATCTTAACATTCAAGATTGTTTTCCTTTCCTCCTTCCTTTCTCTCCCTACCTTCTATTCTTTTCTTAAGCTTATCTCCTCATACCTCTGCTAAAGCCAAATGTATTGTTCTTAGAAAATCCCAGTCACATTCTTGTGGTTCTTCAAACATCCGTTTGTACACTTGGAACACTCTGTTTTCAAGATTCTCCTCCTTCGTGTAGAAAGCTCAAATCCTGTCATCCATAATTCCGTGGCCTACCATGTCTTCGTTAATCAGTATGGTTTTGTGTTATTCTCATAAGCAAACTTATGACTGAGACAAGAGTTTTCATCTAAATGTTGTATCTATTAACTCAAAGCCCAAGTCAGACATATAAAAGTGAGCTTTCTAAATCATCTATGGAGCTACTACTTCTCACACCCAGATGTACATCATCATTTTCACCACTAGACATTTTTTTCTTTTGGATGGTTTGTTCTATTTTTTAGATCTGACAAAGTTCCCAAAGATGTCACCTGTGACCTCATTGTAGGATGTGATGGAGCCTATTCAACTGTCAGATCTCACCTCATGAAGAAACCTCGCTTTGATTATAGTCAGCTTTACATTCCTCATGGGTACATGGAGTTGACTATTCCACCTAAGAATGGGGATGTAAGTCCTTGCCTTTTCTCAACCCCTTCCCACAACCCTCGCACCATGAGTGCAAATGCATATTCTAGTGCAGTGGTTTTCAGCAGCATGTCTTGATTCATTTTGAGGCCTGCCACAAGAACTTTGTAATTAATAATAAATTAGATGCATGGGTATCTTTTTAATAATACAATTCTTCCTCTTTTCTTTTTTGATAACCTTTTTTGAGTGAAAAGAAAGGAGAGGGCTGGGCACAGTGGCTCATGCCCGTAATCCCAGAAATTTGGGAGGCCAAGGCAGGAGGATCACTTGAACCCAAGAGTTCAAGACCAACCTGTCTCTGTAAAAAATACAAAAATTAGCCAGGATGGTGACATGCGCTTGTGGTCCCAGCTACTCAGGAGGCTGAAGTGGAAGGATTGCTTGAGCCCGGGAGGTCAAGGTTGCAGTGAGCTGAGATCATGCCACTGCACTCTATTCTAAGCAATATAGCCCAATCTTGTCTCTCCAAAAGGAAGGAAGGAAGGAAGGGAGGAAGGGAGGGAGGGAGAGAAAGAAGTTACAATCCTCTTACTGGAAAGGGCATTTGAATAATATTTGTCTACGTTCTCTTGGGAGAAAAACACAGGTTGAGGCTGAATCCTTCAGTATTCTGACAATCCAGGGTTCTTATCACCATGATTAAATCAAATAATAGTTATTAAGGGAAATGACTAGAAAAATGTTGCAAAGAGATTTCTATTGTGTTTTTCTTGTTTCCTGGTTCCCACTGTTAAACCATATGGGACCAGAGGCAAATAAGCAGTATGTAATTCATTATATTGTCATAGCAAATAAGTATAGGAACTTGTTAAGGAAAACAATGCTAACAGAAACAATAAGGATACTGGCTTATAAGGATGGATGTGCAAATAACATTAAATACTTGATTTGCATATAAAGCATACATTTTTAAGATGCTGATTTAATCTCTCCTCCGAAATCCAGACAACTGTAAAATAGTCAATATGGGATAGTGTTGTTAAATATCAACAAAGTGTATCCGCCAGTAAAATCCGTATTTTAACATTTCATTACCTTTCTATTTCATCCTTGTGGTCGAAATGTATTTGCTAATTTTTCAGTGCTTATTGTACTGGTTTTCAGATAGGTTCTGTTCTCATGGCTCAGGATCTGGTAAGTCTGGATTATAGGTTAACAGAATTCTGTTGAAAAATTGTTCCAGACTTAAGAAGAACTTTGCTTGTAGATTTAAGAAAGCCCTTTATTTTCTAGGTATACATAATAAATAGTAATTATTAATGGTTTTTAAAAATGTCTCCACTCTTTTGAGAACACTTTTTAGACATAGCAATGTTACTCAGACATGGGAACATTTTGACATGGCCCAAAAACAATCTTATGAGAGTTTCTCTATTTTTCTTTCTGTTTTGTTTTTTTCTTTTCTTTTCTTTTCTTTTTTTGAGACGGAGTTTCACTCTTGTTACCCAGGCTGGAATGCAATGGCGTGATCGGCTCACTGCAACCTCCACCTCCTGGGTTCAGGCAATTCTCCTGCCTCAGCTTCCTGAGTAGCTGGGATTACAGGCACACGCCACCATGCCCAGCTAATTTTTGTATTTTTAGTAGAGACGGGGTTTCACCATGTTGACCAGGATGGTCTTGATCTCTCGACCTCGTGATCCACCCGCCTTGGCCTCCCAAAGTTCTGGGATTACAGGTGTAAGCCATGGCGCCCAGCCTTCTTTTGTTCTTAATGTAATGCATGCAATAGACAGTTGCACTCCTCTGATGGTTGCAGTGGGGGCAAGAGATTGGGTGAGTGGCTTTCTACCACTAGCATTACTATTAAAGAGAAGTAATTGCTTTTCATATGTATTCATCTTGCCTATTCAATTGCGGTGTAAGGTCAAGAGACATGCATGCACTGATTTCCGTGTCTGTGTGTTGGGCTTTCTTTGGGAATCTGAGGCTAAAAAAAAAAACAAGAAAAGCACAGTCCCTTCACCTAAGACACAAATAACTATGATACGGTGTAAAAATGTCAGCTCCAAGACTAGCCTGTTTTTTGGTATTCTCGCTATGCAAGATACACATGCAAGGCGCTCTCAAAACATTTGTAAAACATAATACAAATTTGAAATAGTTGGAAAATTGGTTGCATATTTTTATGTCTATAATGCCCCTGGGAACCTTCAAAAATTTGAGTCACTTGGGCCTTTGGGTCAATTGATCTACCCACGCAATTAATACTTCCTTGGGGCTATTATTGTATTAATAGTAATTACAGAGAAGTCATTAAAGAGACAAGACTCTATTATTTATGTTACAGGAAACAAATGATAAAAAGCTTATTTCTAAACTTTTGGTTTTGGCTCATGAAATTTAAATGTAAGACCTTCTGTCCAGGATAGATAAGTTCTGAAAAAAGGCAAAAGATAAAGTAAAAAAAATTATATAAATATATATAATGTGTATGCATACATTATATATGCATGTGTATACACACACACATACACATCTAGATATGTGCATGTATGTGTACATAGATACCGGGTATAATTATACCAGGTATAATTCAAGATTTGAGAACATAAGATGTTCTCTCTGTCTTTTTTCATACATGTACACAGACATACACATATTCTAAAATTGTAAATTATGCATGGTATCAAAAACCCACCTAAGATTGAGTTTATAAAGACAGAACACAAAGTATTTTCTAAGGCAACTTCTATTTTATATAGCAATAGATGTGCATATAATTGTGCATATGCTACTATTGTTTAAGTTACTGTGGAAACTATTATAAAGCTGAGTCCGTTTTATAGATTTACTATGTTAATGCACTAATGTATCATATATTCTTTTTTCTGCAGTATGCCATGGAACATAATTATCTGCATATTTGGCCTAGAAATACCTTTATGATGATCGCACTGCCTAACATGGTAGTATAGAATTTTCTATGAACTATAATTTTGCATCTGTAATTAATGTTATTACTCACTTTTGTACTTAGAATGTATATACCTAATTGATCTCTTCATTGTTTAATCTATTTAGTGATTACAGCTTTGAAACGTTGGGATTACTGAGAAAAAAATTTGAAGGAATTCCAATTATTTACTTTGGAAAGGAGATTTAAGTTACATGGATGAATAACAAGAGTTTATGTGTGGTGGTGCCTGTCATCTTCACTAAAGACAGTGTAGGAGGAAATGCACACCACCCGCCCTCCAGTAAAGCCAAAGAGATATAGGTTATCTATTAGGAAGTGATTCAGCCTTTAAGGTCTGCAGGACTTTGGAATACGCATTATCAAAAGAGAGCATGGGGCTGGGTACAGTGGCTCATACCTATAATCCTAGCACTTTGGGAGGCCAAGGTAGGAGGATTGCTTGAACTCAGGAGTTCAAGACTGGTGTGGCCAACATAGCAACACCTTGCATCTACTGAAAAATAAAAATTTGCCACATGTGGTGGCACGTGCCTGTAGTCCCAACTACTCAGGAGGCTGACATGGGAGGATTGCTTGAACCCTGAAGATGGAGCCTGCAGTAAGCCATGATCATCCCATTGCACTCCAGCCTGGACAGCAAAGCAAGATCCTATCTCAAAAAAAAAAAAAAAAAAAAAGAGAGAGAGAGAGAGAGAGAAAGAGAGATCATGAGTTTTCTCTCATTAGACCCTAGAGGCTTTTTTCCTAGATAGATATAACTGTTTCTCTGGTTGGGATCTTTTTCTTTCTGTTGGTATCTGTCCAGGAGTCCAGGGCCTATTAATACTATCTTAAAAGGAAGAAGAGGAGATGTCAAATCTAACTAACATATTAGTAATTTAAAGAGTGTAGGCAGGGCGTGCTGGCTCATGCCTAGCACTTTGGGAGGCCAAGGTGAGTGGATCACCTGAGGTCAGGAGTTCGAGACCAACCTGGCCAACATGGAGAAACTCTGCCTCTACTAAAAATACAAAAAATTAGCCGGGCATAGTGGTGTGTGCCTGTAATCCCAGCTACTCAGGAGGCTGAGGCAGGAGAATCACTTGAGCCTGGGAGGCAGAGGTTGCAGCAAGCCAAGATCACGCCACTGCTCTCCAGCCTAGGCAATGGGGCAAGAAGACTCTGCCTCAGAAAAAAAAAAAAAAAAAAAAAAAAGTCTAGTATTTGCTGTGTGAAAATGAAGAGTTTACAGTATCAAAGTTGTCCGAATAATCAAAGAAGCTGGGGAGCACCCCTGGGACTTGGCAGAACTTTTCTTTCGGAGCAAAGGGACAAGTGACAGTGCCTTTACTGTCTGCCTGGACATTCATTCCAAAAGCTCCCTGGTCACAGCAAGAAGTCTTGTGATTTCAGGACCCACCTACAGTGCCGGCATTACTTGACCCCTAATCCCCTTTTACTCTGTTTCTATTCTCACAGAACAAATCGTTCACATGTACTTTGTTCATGCCCTTTGAAGAGTTTGAAAAACTTCTAACCAGCAGTGATGTGCTGGAATTCTTCCAGAAATACTTTCCGGATGCCATCCCTCTAATTGGAGAGTAAGTTGCAAGTTGTGCCTTGTGCTCCATTTGTTTGAATTATTCCAAATTCAAGTAAAGTTTATGCACCTGATTTAAGTTTTGGTTAAACATGATGGATCATACAGTCACCTGGACAGAAACCTACATCAGAGCAAAAGTCTAAGTAGATGTTTTGCTGTGAGCAGGAATTCTGAAAAACACCCGTGCTGTGGCCAGTTTCTCTGGGAAAGATGAGCCACCAATATCCCAAGGCTTTTGTGTATCTTACACAAGCTCCTCAGGCTCCGTAGGGCTCAGCGTGCCACAGAAACCGGATGAACTTTTTTCTACTGGTAGATACACAAATCTTTGGCACAGCCGATACATCCGGCAGCATCAAGTCTCAGATCCTATACTTACTCACCACATAAGGTTTCCCATGTCCCACTCATGATAATAGGCTGATAAATGATAGAACCTATCCCAAAGGGTTGTTACGAGGACTAAATGATATCATGTCTGTAAATCATTCAGCACAAGGCTTGGCACATATTAAATTGTCCATCTAGACACCTCCAATGATGTTTTCACGAAGGCAGCACAATGGTACCGAGAGTATGCCTTAGTCACTTCAGTTGGCTATAATGAACCTACCATAGATTCGGTGGCTTATAAATGACAGAAATGTATTGCTCACAGTTCTGAAGGTTGACAAGCATAAGATCAAGGCGCTAGCAGATTCGGTGTCTGGTGACACCCCACCTCTTGGTTCATAGATGACAGTCTTTTTGCTGTGTCCTCACATGCTAGAAGGGGCATGGGATGTCTCTAGAGTCCCTTTTATAAAAGCACTAATGCCATTAATGGGGGGTCCACTCCCAAGACCTAATCACCACCCAAAGTCCCCATCCCCAAATATCATCACACTGGAGATTAGGAATCCAACATAGGAATGTTAGGGGAACATAAATATTCAGTCTATAGCAGAGCAATATTTTAATACTGCTTCTGCCCCTTACCTCCATGAGTTTCACCTTTAAAATGGGTATCATAATATCTACCCTAGGGCATTTGTAAAAATTAAATGAGCTAATTATGTAAAAGGGACAACTCACTGCTGGCCCACAGCAGGTCTTTTTAAAATTGCTAGTCACTTTCTTTCTTGAAGACTAAGTTAGTCTGTATGGATCCCTCCTTCTCCAACAGTGAAGAGAAATCTCTGCACACCAAAATTAGCCCTTATGTACTTTCAAACTGGTTTAATGGCTATTTTTTGCCTCTCCAGACAGATTTAAGATTCTTGAGGCTATGTCTTGTTCGCCTACTTAGAACTTCCTCAACACCTCTATAGATGCTCTACAAATGTTAGGTTTTTTGTTTGTTTTTTATTATAAGCACCATGTTGTAAAATAAATCTCTTGAATTTATTCTTCCTGTTTAACTGAACTTATTCTTCCTCTGTACCGTTTGACCAAATTATTTCAATCCCCCAATACTAGTTTTATTACTATTACCCATTTCCAAATACATAAAGATTCATATTAATTTTAATTTTGGTTTATTGTCTTTTAATCAAATGCAAAGAAATATTTGCTCAATTTTTAAATGGAAACCTAAAATATAACACTGTATTTAAAAGTCTTATGGCTCAGGTGCATGATAACAAAGTTTTAGTAACATATGATACAGAAATATTTAAATTATTCAAATACAGCCAAACTTATTATTTTTGAATGTGATTAACATTGTTACAGACTAAGAAGGTAATTAGAACAATGGAATTTTAGGACTGAAAAAACTTCAGTTTTTCCCTTTTTTTTCTTCTTGACATTCTTGTGTATTTTTCAACAAAACTTGGTGATAATAAATTTTGTAAATCTGAAAAAATTTAGTAGTGTTTAATACCTAATTTGATATCCTTACATTTGAATTATTTTCCTTTGAAGGAGACTCCTAGTGCAGGATTTCTTCCTGCTGCCTGCCCAGCCCATGATATCTGTAAAGTGCTCTTCATTTCACTTACAATCTCACTGTGTACTGCTGGGGGATGCAGCTCATGCCATAGTACCATTTTTTGGGCAAGGAATGAATGCGGTAAGTTATTTTTCCCTAGGTAAGTCCCCGAAATATTTCTGGGTCAGTCTCAGCTAACAAGTCTTGGGTAAAAAACAGGTCTAAGACTATCCCCACATAATCCCTGAAAGCACAATCAATGCAGCAATCATACCGGTTGTGTAGCCAGATTGATCACCAACTCTAATCAGAATTTGAATTGCTCAGTATCACTGAGGGATGAGTGTATTATGCTTTCTGCTTTTTTCTGCTATGGATTACTGGATTGCTGTATTGATTGTGCTTCCAGGGATTATGTGGGGATATTCTTAGACATGTTTTTTACTTTGTCCTGTGGGTTGTCTCTTCACTTTTTTGATTGTTTCTTTTGCTTTTGCAGAAACTTCTTTTGCTTGATATGATCCCATTTGTCCCATTTATTTCTCAGTTCTCTATTCTGTTCCAAAGGTCTATGTATGTGCTTGTTTTTTTGCTTTGGTTGCCATGTTTTTGAGGTCTTACTCAGATAATCTTTGCCCAGACCACTGTCTAGAGTGTTTCCTCAATGTTTTCTTCTACTAGTTTCATAGTTGCAAGTCTTAGATTTGTCTTTAATCCACTTTGATTTTACTTTTGTATATGGTGAAAGACAGTGGTCTGGTTTCATTCTTCTGCATATAGATACCTAGTTTTCCCAGCACCATTTATTGAAAAGACTATCTTTTCACCAATGTATGTTCTTGGCACCTTTGCTAAAATTGAGTTGATGCTAAAATTGAAAGTGGGTGTATTTCTGGTTTCTCTATTCTATTTCATTGGTTGAGATGCCTGTTTTCATGCCAGTCCCATGACGTTTTGGTTACTTTAGCTTTGTAGTATAATTTGAAGTCAGGTAATGTGATGCCTCCAGTTTCGTTCTTTTTGCTCAGGATGGCTTTGGCTATTTTGAGTCTTTTGTGATTGCATATAAATTTGAGGATTATTCTATTTCTGTGAAGAATGACATTGGTATTTTTTTATGGATTGCATTAAATCTGTAGATTACCTTGGGTAATATGGACATTTGAACAATATTGATTCTTCCTTTCCATGAGCATGGAATATCTTTCCATTTTTTGTGTTCTCTTCAATTTCTTTCATCAATGTTGTATAGTTTTCATTGTAGACATCTTTCACTTCTCAGGTTAATTACCGAGTATCTTATTTTATTTGTAACTTTTATAAATGGGATTACTTTCTTGTTTTTTTCTTTTTTTTACAGATTGTTTGCTCTTGACATATAGAATTGCTATTTATTTTTGTATGTTGATTTTGTATCCTGTAACTTTGCCAAATTTGTTTATCAGTTCTAATAGTGTTTCTGGTGGACTCTTTAGTTTTTTGTAAACATAAGGTCATATTGTCTGCAAACAAGAGTAATTTGATCTTCCTTTCCAATTTGGATGCTCTTTATTTCTTTCTCTTCTCTAAATCCTCTGGCTAGGACTTCCAGTACTATGTTGCATAAAAGTGGTGAAAATGGTCATCCTTGTCTTGTTCCATATTTTAGAGGAAGATTTTCAGTTTTCCCCCATTTAGTATGATACTGGCTTTGGGATTGCCATATACAGCTTTTATCATATTGAGGTATATTCCTTCTATACCTAGTTTTGTTTGTTTGTTTGTTTGTTTGTTTAGAGTTTTTATCGCGAAGGAATGTTGAATTCTACAGAATGCTTTTTTAGCATCAATTGAAATGATTATATGATTTTTGTCTTTCATTCTGTTGATATGATGTATCACTTTTATTGATTTGTGTATGTTGAACCATCCTTGCTACTCTGGGATGAATCCCACTTAATCATAATGAATGATTTTCAATGTGTTCTTGAATTTGGTTTGCTTGTGCTTTGCTGAGAATCTTTACATCTATGTTTATCAGAGATATTGGCATGTAGTTTCCTTTTGTTTGTTGTGTCTTTGTCTGGTTTTGGTATTATGGTAAGACTGGCCTCTTATAATTAGTTTGGAAGTACTCCCCTTTAATTTTTTTGGAATAATTTGAGTAGGATTGATATTAGTTTTTTTTTTTTTAATGTTTTGTAGAATTCAGCAATGAAGCTATCAGGCCCTAGGCTTTTCTTGGATGGGAAGCTTTTTATTATTGCTTCTATCTTGTTATTTTTTAATGGTCTATTCAGGTTTTGAATTTCTTTATGGTTCAATCTTGGCAAGTTGGTATGTGTCTAGGACTTTGTTCATTTCTTCTAAGGGTTTTCAAATGTATTGGCATATAGTTGCCCATAATGGTCTCTAATGATCCTTTGAGTTTCTATGGTATCAGTGTCTCCTTTTTCACCCCTGATTTTATTTATTTAAGTCTTCTCTCCTTTTTCTTAATCTAGCAAAAGATTTGTTGATTTGTTTGTCTTTTTTAAACACCAACTTTTTGTTTCATTGATCTTTTATATTATAGTCTCAACTTTTTTCTGATCTTGATTATTTCTTCTTTAATGAAACTTTTAAAATTCCTACTGAGATTATTCTGTCTTAAAATTAATGTATATATTTTATTTCAATAGCTTTTTGGGTACAAGTGGTTTTTGGTTACATGAAAGAATTACATAGCGGTAAAGTCTGAGATTTTAGTGCATCTGTCACCTGAGTAGAGTACATTGTACGCAATATGTAGTTTTTTATCCCTCACTCCCCTCTCGTTCTCCCCATTCTGAGTCACTAAAGCCCATGCTATCACTCTGTATGCCTTTCTGTACTCATAATTTAGCTCCCACTTCTAAGTGAGAACATATGATGTTTAGTTTTCTATTCTTGAATTACTTCACTTAAAATAATGGCCTCCAGATCCATCCATCCAAGTTGTTGCAAAAGATATTATTTATTCTTTTTTACAGTTGAGTAGTATTCCATGGTGTATATATACCACATTTTCTTTATCCATTCATTGGTCAAGGGACACTTAGGCCAGTTCCATATCTGTACAATTGTGAATTGTCCTGCAATAAATATACACATCCAGGTGTATTTTTATTTTTTTGGCATTGGTATTTTTTGTATGGTTTGTATTTTTTGCTAATTTTTGTATTTTTTGTAGAGACGATGTTTCACCATGTTGCCCAGGCTGGTCTCAATCTTCTGAGCTCAACTGATCTGCCTGCCTTGGCCTCCTGAAGTGCTGGGATTACAGGCATGAGCTACCATGGTCAGCCCATTTATTTGTTTTTTGTTTTAGTTGCATTTGCTTTAGGAGTCTTAGTCATAAATTCTTTGCCTAGGCCAATGTCCAGAAGAGTTTTTCCTAGGTTTTCCTTTAGAATTTTTATGTTTTCAGGTCTTAAATTTAAGTCTTTTATCCATCTTGAGTTTATTTTTGTGTAAAGTGAGAGATAGGGATCCAGTTTCATTCTGCTACATATGGCTATCCAGTTTTCCCAGCACCATTTATTAAAAAGGGTGTCTTTTCCTCAATTTATGTTTTTGTATGCTTTATTGAAGATCAGTTGGTTGTAAGTATTTGGCTTTATTTCTGTGTTATCTATTCTGTATCTATCTGTCTACTTGTATATCAGTACTATGCCATTTTAGTGACTATAGCCTTGTAGTATAATTTAAAGTCCAGTATTGTGATGCCTTCAGATTTGTTCCTTTTGCTATTTGGGCTCATTTTTGGTTCCACATGAGTCTTAGAATTGTTTTTTCTAATTCTATGAAAAATGATGTTGGTATTTTGATAGGAATTACATTGAATCTGTAGATTGCTTTTGGACAGTATGGTCATTTTAGCAATATTGTTTCTTCCAATCCATGAACATGGAATATGTTTCCATTTGCTTGTGTCATCTATGATTTCTTTCAGAAGTGTTTCGTAGCTCTCCTTTTAGAGATCTTTCACCTCCTTGGTTAAGTATATTCCTAGGTATTTTATCTTATTTTTCAGCTGTTATAAAAAGGAGTAAGCTCTTGATTTGATTCACAGTTTGGTTGTTGGTGGTGTGTAGAAATGCTACTGATTTGTGTATATTGATTTTGGAACCTGAGTCTTTACTGAATTCATTTATAAAATGTAGGACTATTTTGAGAGAGTCTTTAGAGTTTTCTAAGTATACAATCATATCATCAGCAAACAGTGATCTTTTGACTTCCTTTTTGTCAATTTGGATGTCCTTCATTTCCTTCTCTTGACTGATTACGTTCTCTAGGACTTCCAGTACTATGTCGAATAGAAGTGATGAAAATGGGCATCCTTGTCTTGCTTCAGTTCTGAAGGACAATGCTTTAGACTTTTCCCCATGCAGTATGATGTTAGCTGTGGATTCATCATATATGGCTTTTATTATTTTGAGATAAGTCCTTTCTATGCCTAGTTTGTTGGGGGGTTTTTATCATAAACTGATGTTGGATTTTACAGAATGCTTTTTCTGCATCGATAGAGATGATCATATGGTTTTTGTTTTTAATTCTGTTTATGTGATGTGTCACATTTATTGATTTGCATATATTAAACCATTCCTGCATCCCTGGGATGAAAGCCACTTGATCATAGTATATTATCTTTTTGATGTGCTGTTGTATTTGGTTAGCCAGTATGTGGCTGAGGATTTTACACTGATGCTCATCAGAGATATTGGTTTGTAGTTTTCTTTCTTTGTTATGTTCTTTCCTGGTTTGGGTGATATTGGCTTCATAGAATGAGTTAGGGAGAATTCTCTCTGTCTCAATCTTTTGTAATAGTTTCAATAGGATTGGCACCAATACTTTGAATGTCTGGTAAAATGCAACTGTGGGTCCTTTTGGTCCAGGACTTTTATTTGTTGTTGACAACTGTTTCGATTACTGATTCAATCTCACTGCTTGTTATTGGTCTGTTCAGGGTTTCTATTTCTTCCTTATTTAATCTAGGAATTTTGTACATGTCCAGAAATTTAGTCATTTCCTCTAGGTTTTCTAGTATGTTTCCAAAAAGGTGTTCCTAGTAGTCTCAAATGATCTTTTGTATTTCTGTGGTGTCAGTTGTAATGTCTCCAGTTTCATTTCTAATTAAGCTTGTTCGGATCTTCTTTTGCACCTTCTTGGTTAAACTAGCTAATCGTCTATTGATTTTGATTCTGTTTTCAAATAATCAACTTTTTGTCTTGTTGATCTTTTGTATTTTTTGTTTCAAATTCATTTAGTTCTCCTCTGATCTTTGTTATTTCTTTTCTTCTGCTGACTTTGGGTTTAGTTTGTTCTTGTTTCTCTAGTTCCTTGAGGTGTGACGTAATGTTGTGGTCAATTTGTGTTTTGTTTTTTTTTTTTTTAACTTTTTGATATAGGCATGTAGTGCTATAAAATTTCCTCTTAGCATTGTATTTGCTGTATCCCAGAGGTTTTGAGGCATTGTGTCACTATTATCATTTATTGTAAAAGATTTTTAAATTTCCATCTTGATTTCATTGTTAACCTGATGGATGAGGTCAAGTAAACCTCTGAGCTGATTAGATGTTGAACACTACTGTCTTCATGGAAATTTTACTATTTCGGCTACAAAAAGAATTCAGAGAAGAAATAGTGTTTTAAAGTTGAAGTTGAACATTTAGTTCAAGGAATCCTAAACTAATTCGTGTGTGTGCTAATAGTTCATAAATATTAATCATGTGTTATGTTGGTCATTGCTATATATTCCAAATAAAATTAGCTTGTGAATCTAATCAATTATATTCTCCATAAAGCAGTGGTAAACATTTTGTTTTATAAAAACATAAGAAGACATTTATTATAGTACAATGGATAAGTGCCCAGGACCTGGCATTAGAATACCTGGTTTTAAGTCCTGGCTCCAGGATTTACTACAAATACGTTCTTGCACAACTTACTTACCTTATCTTTACTGCCTTATCTATGAAATTGTAATTTTAGACCAGGTGCAGTGGCTCACGCCTATAATCCCAGCACTTTGGGAGACCTAGACAGGTTGATCACTTGAGATCCGGAGTTCAAAACCAGCCTGGCCAACATGGTAAAACCCTGTCTCTACCAAAAATACAAAAAGAAAAAGAAAAAAAAAAAAAAGAAAAAGAAAAAAAAAAAAACAGGTGTGTTGGTGGATGCCTACAGTCTCAGCTACTTGGGAGGCTGAGGCAGGAGAATCGCTTGAAGATGGCAGGCAGAGGTTGCAGTGAGCCGAGTTTGCGCCACTGCACTTCAGCTTAGGCAACAGATTAGACTCCTTTTCAAAATAAATAACTAATTTAATTAATTGAAATAAATTTTTAATAGTGTTTACTTCAGGGTTGTGAAGAGTAAATGAATTAACTTAAACAAAAAATATAAAACTGTTATCTCAGCCTCATATGGTATCTCCCACTTCTAAATCCTATAGTATTGAGACTATATAATTGGTTTGACAAATAAATCTGCTTGTTTCACATGGGTAATCTTTATAACTGATGTGAAAAATATTTTATTAAAAAATACCTTTAGGCTAGGCATGGTGGCTCATTTCTGTAATCCCAGCAATTGGGAGACTGAGCCGGGCAGATCACTTGAGGTCAGGAGTTCGAGACCAGTCTGGCCAATGTGGTGAAATGCTGTCTGTACTAAAAATACGAAAATTAGCTGGGTGTGGTGGCACACACCTGTATACCCAGCTACTCAGGAGGCTGAGGAAGGAGAATCACTTGAACCTAGGGTGGAGATTGCAGAAAGCCAAGATCATGCCACTGCACTCCAGCCTGGGTGACAGAGAGAGACTCCATCTCAAAAAAAAAAAAAAGAAAGAAAATAAAAAGAAAAAATATATCTTTATATTGCCTCTAAAGCTATAGCTTGAATTCCTAGAAAACAGGAAACACTGCTTTCAATTCTCTAACCTCTCTGTATTTAGCATAGTACATTACTAATTTTGTGGACTTCTTAATGTTGATTTAATCTTGAGTTATAGGAACTAAATTAATATGTAAGTAGTTTTATCATGTCATTAAATTACTCTAAGTGTGAATCTTAAAGACTTGAATAGTATAAATATAATTCTAAAACTTATGGTAGAGCAATATAATGTCTCTTCTTCTCAAAGAAGTAATGGAATCTATCAAAATTAGAACACTAACTTAAAATCTTGGTCAAATTTCAAATCACTATAACATACATACATATATATATATATATATATATATATATATATATATATATATATAAATGGGACAAAGATAACAGTGCCAAACATGAAGACTATGGTTGTTTGCTTGTTTGTTTGTTTTGAGACAAGGTCTCACTCTGTCACCCAGGCTGAAGTGCAATGGCTTGATCTCAGCTCAGTGCAACCTCTGCCTCCCAGGCTTAAGTGATCCTCTAACCTCAGCCTCCCAAGTAGCTGGGACCACAGGAACGCAGCACCACAGAGAGCTTTTTATTTTTTTTTTATTTTTTTTTTTTTTTGTACTTTTAGTAGAGACAGGGTCTTGTCATGTGGCCCAGGCTGATCTTGCACTCCTGAACTCAGGTGATCTGCTCACCTCAGCCTGCTGGGATTACAAGTGTGAGCCATCACACCTGGGCCCAGTGGTCATTTTTAACCATAATTCAATACCATGTGACAACTCAACTGCTGTGTACTAGTGGAGGATAAACAGTCTATGGATTATCTTCACCAATAGAAGTTCTGTTCAAAATCGGTAATAAGTTTTTAAAAATATTTCTAGTTCCTTAATTCTCATTTTTTTTTCTTGTTTCAGGGTTTTGAAGACTGCTTGGTATTTGATGAGTTAATGGATAAATTCAATAATGATCTTAGTAAGTAAGGTCAATTTCTCAATTAGACATGGACTAGCTCTTCTGACTAATCATGGACTTATTTCTGATCCTCAATGATCACAAACCTGTGATGTGTAATGTACATTATCTGCCCAGGATTATACACTTTTTTTTTTTTTTTACTAACAGCCTATGCAACTGTTCTCCCATATCAACAACTAACATCCAGAAAAAGAGACATAGTTTATTTTGGAGTTCATATGTGGAGGTCCATGAAGTGTTTCACTCAAAGATAAAATCTCAGAGAACCAATGCTTGGCAGAGATATGCTGCTTTCCCTCCCCTTTTGGCCTAGGTAACACCCTCAGCCTGCATTCCCTACCAGCAGTCCCCAACGTTTTGGAAGCAGGGACGGGTTTCATGGAAGATAATTTTTCCGCAGATGGGGGTTGTGGGGGAGATGGTTTCAGGATGAAACTGTTCCAGCTCTGATCATCAGGCATTAGTTAGATTCTCATAAGGAGCGTGCAAGCTACATCCCTTGCATGTGCAGTTCACAGTAGGGTTCACACTCCTATGAGAACTTAATGTCACTGCTGACCTGACAGGAGGCAGTATTCAGGTGGTAACACTCACTCACCTGCTGCTCATCTCCTGCTGTGCAGTTCCTAACAGGCCATGGTTGGAGGGCTGGGGACATCTACCCCACAGCACATCCTCAGAAACACCCTTAGAAACTCCAGTGTTCTCCTGCTTTTTGCCCTATCAGAGATTGCATCTGCTATTTCGTGTGCCTTTTGATTAAAACTGATTCAGCCAATACATTAATTTTACAGATATTGAACTTTTGAGTATTTATATATAATTATGGAATTAATTTAAATTAAATGTGTACAATTACACATATTATATATATAGTATATATATACATAATATACACTAATACCTGGGTCTGAAGTGATTATAGCATTCCACGGCATTCCAGGGCAAATTTCTTCTTTTTTGTTTTGTTTTGTTGTTGTTGTTGTTGTTGTTGTTGTTTGAGATGGAGTCACTCCATTGCCCAGGCTGGAGTGCAGTGGTGCAATCTCAGCTCACTGCAACTTCCACCTCCTGGGTTCAAGCAATTCTCCTGCCTCAGCCTCCAGAGTAGCTGGGATTATAGGCATACACCACCACACCTGGCTAATTTTTGTATTTTTAGTAGAGACAGGGTTTCATCATATTGGCCAGGCTGGTCTCGAACTCCTGACCTCAAGTGATCCACCGCTTCAGCATCCCAAAGTGTTGGGATTATAGGCATGAGCCACCATGCTTGGCAGAAATTTCTTCTTTTTTTTTTCATCTCCCAGTCATCTGTCCCAGATGCTCAGGAGCCAGAGGCATTTTGTTCCCTCCCTTCCTTCCTAGCCCTTGTGTGATTGGTTTGCAAATAATGATGAAGGTGGATAGAGGATTTGTATATTACATAGAAAAAAGAAGGTGCAAACGATAGCCTAAGAACTGGATAACCTTTTCCTGCTTCCTAGCATCACATGCTTTCAAAGGCCCCCTCTGAATTTACACTTGTTTCAGGTGAAGGATCGACTAGAGAACTGGCCTTAAACTTACAGCCAGTTTCAAGTCCTGACTTGCCGACTTATTAACTGTGTGATCTTGAGCAAATCACTTAATCTTTCTAAAGCCTCAGTTGTTTTTCATCTATAAAGTGGGGATAATACTCTCAACTTCAGAGTTGTGAAGATTGAATGATTTCTGTAAAGATTTAAAAAGAAAAAAGAAAGCCTGCTGTAAAGAAAGTTCATAGTAAATGTTTGCTGTGGTGTTTTTGGAAGTTGTAGAACACTGATACCTAGGTCTGAAGAGATTATAGGGTTCCAGGACAAATTTTTCATGTTTGTTTTTGTTGTTATTTCCCAGTCATCTCTCTCAGTTGCTCGTGAGTCAGAGATATTTTGTTTCCTGACTTCCTAGTGCTGGTGTGACTGGTTTGCACACGGTGATGGAGGTGGACAGAGGGTTTACGTGTCAGAACGAACTGTCAATGCTGGTTTGGGGCACTAGAGAACGAAGATGAAACAATAGTAAAGATTAACTTTGTTGTAATTTTTATTTAATCACAACAGGAAGTGCTCTGTGTGTATTATCAATAGTCAGATTGTTGGTTATACAGAATGTCATTCATAGTTTAAAAAAATTATTGAGAGCGTTGGTAGTGAATAGATCATTTAATTTGACCTGTGTAGAGTTCAGCACATGTTTTTAGAAGGTTTTGGAAAGATGTATTATTTTACTTATAGGTTTGTGTCTTCCTGCATTCTCAAGATTGAGAATCCCAGATGATCATGCGATTTCAGACCTATCCATGTACAATTACATAGAGGTGAGTGAGAAGGTTTGGCTTTATTTCATGAGATGGTTCACTGATATTCTAACAAATGTTCTTTTCTTTTTCTTTGCGTTAGCCCCCATCTCATGCATACTATATAAGAATATGTACAGACAAGAATGAACACACACACACAAACACACACACACACACACACAGAGCATTCCTTAGACTCAGGTGGATTGTTACTCGGTGGCCAGTGGCAATGACCCACACACATTATTTTCATCTACACTTTAAGGACGTTTAGGAAGTAATGAAGCCTCTGATAATTCACGTGCTTTGTATCTTAGACATTTAGTCAATATGTCATAGGCAATATGTTAATTTAATGAAAGTACAACTTTCAGATGTGTTAACATATTTAGAAAATCTAAGAAATGTTGAACGGCCTTTTCACTCATAACATTATAACTTGCATATTTAGAGCAGCAATTGATTATCCTTTGAAGCCTTATGCACTAAAAAAATGCATAATACCAAAAAGAAATTTATGTTCAGGAAAATTAGTACTTTGAAGAAAAACACATTAATTCCATTTTGAACCAGTCACATGAAAAGCTCACAATAAGTGATTTCACAATATTATAGTTTTAAAATAATAAAATGAAAGGATTTACAAGACAGATTTAAAGCAGAGTGACCAGCTATTTTTCATCTCTCCTGAAGAGAGAAAGAAAGAAACTGGACTTCCTCTTGAGTGAAATTGCATCGTATATGGTGGAGGACGTTCTGTAAGATACTAGAAGCTTTATTAATGTATCTTGTCTTATCCTTTAAAACAGGATGGCTATGACACAGTATCTATCCTAAATAGATAGTGGGTCAGCATAGCTTTACTTGTTGCCATAAGCAATATTACAAACCAACCAGGAAGCAACAGAAAATTAGTCAAATCCTTGAGCTCACAGATTACCTGCAGATTTGGTTAAACAAACCCTTTGCTGAAATAGAGTTCCTATTTGACCCCTGAGCAAAATAAAACTTCCCCAGCAGGTTTCATGTAATTGGTGTACATTTTCAAGGCAACATCCTATATGACTGACATTTACTAAAATGGACTGGGAATGACTGTTACGGAAACAAAAATTTATTTGACTACTTTGTGTTTGGAATTGCGATGAGTGGGAATGAAGGATAATAATAAGTTGCAGTAGGAAATAGATGTGTTTTTTCAAAAGCATTTTTTACTCACATTATTGCAGATGCGAGCACATGTCAACTCAAGGTGGTTCATTTTTCGGAAGAACGTGGAGCGATTTCTTCATGCTATTATGCCGTCTACCATCATCCCTCTTTATAGTATGGTAAGGTCTGGACTTAAGACTTTTTCTCATTTTAATTTTCTGTTTACCTGCTAAAGAAGACACGAGACTACTTTTTAAACTTCCCTGCAGGTCTGTTTTACCAGAATAAGATACCATGAGGCTGTGCAGCGTTGGCACTGGCAAAACAAGGTTGGAACAGATTACATTTTTTATTTTTTTAATATGATGTGTTGAAATGTCATAGTATTATGATTATGTTTATTTCAGGCAAATACAGAAATGATGAGACAGACACCAAATGTTTGCGTTACAAACAGAAACTGTTCTGAGTACAGAGAGGGAAGAGGGCTTACTGAACATTAGAGGAAGTGGTAAAGAGAGAGAACTTGTGAAGGGCAGAAACTCAAGAAAGAAACTGATGCTAATGTCTCTCAACTTTTTATTTTAGCAAGGTATACTGTTTTTGATTTTTGCTTTGTGCAATATTCTCATGAGTTTAATTTGTAAAATTAGACAGAACTGAATCACTTTTTTTTTTAATCGATTTAGAAAATTTATTTTGCCAAAGTTAAAGACACGCCCGTGACAGCCGCAGAAGATCCTGAGGACATGTGCCCAAGGTGGTTGGGGCACAGCTTGGCTGTATATACTTTAGGAAGACATGAGCCATCAGTCAGTATGTGTAAGCTAATTCACCTATTCCAGGCTGGGCACAGAGGCTCATGCCTGTAATCCCAGCACTTTGGGAGGCCAAGGCTGGTGGATGACAAGGTCAGGAATTCGAGACCAGCCTGGCCAATATGGTGAAACACTGTTTCTACTAAAAATACAAAAATTAGTAGTCCCAGCTACTTGGAAGGCTGAGGCAGGAGAATCACTTGAACCCGGGAAGCAGAAGTTGCAGTGAGCCGAGATCACACTACTTCACTCCAGCCTGGGCAACAGAGCAAGACTCCACCTCAAAAAAAACCAAAAAACAAAAAACAAAAAATAGCCCAGAGTGGTGGTGGATGCCTGTAATCCCAGCTTCTTGGGAGGCTGAGGCAGGAGAACTGCTTGAACCCAGGAGACAGTGGTTGCAGTGAGCCGAGATCACACCATTGCACTCCAGCCTGGGCAACAGAGCAAGATTCCATCTCAATAAAAGGAAGGAAGGAAGGAAGGGAGAAAGGAAGGAACGGAGGAGGAAGGGAGGGGAAAGAAAGTAAAGAAAGGAAGGAAGGAAGGAAAGAAGGAAGGAAGGAATGAGGGAGGGATGGAGGGGAAAGAAAAAGGAAGGAAGGAAGGAAGAAAGGAAGGAAGGAAGAAAGAGGCCTACCTATTCCAATGGAATGCTATATAACGCATTCATATTAGGCAGTTGGCCCAGAGATGCCATTAAATGGAATTCTGATTCCCTAGCCTTCCACTTTGGGAATTTTACAATGTCTTTTATTCAACAGTTTTAATTAGTGCATAGCACTGAGCTGGCACGGTGATGAACGTGACACAGTCCACACCTCTCACAAAGCTCAGAGGCTAGTGGGGGATAGAGACAGTAGCGCTGGAGAGGGATAAACTGCCCCCGAGGAGAACAGGACTGGGCCAGGAAAGGGGAAGGCAGAATACACGTGACCAACACGTGAGTTAGAGCGGCCAGGATTTCAATGGAGCTGGAAGGCAACAGTAGTGCGTGAGAATGGTCAGAGGGGCAGCTGGAGAGGCAGGCAGGGCTTTAAATACCTGGAATATTACCTTTAGAGAAACAGGGAGCCCAGGGAGGCCAACAGACTCAGGTCTGGATTTTAGAAAGATGTCTATATGGATAATGGATGGGAAGAAATCAAGATTTATCTATACAAGGTGAATAATATAGAGTCCCGCCCTTAAGGAGCTGAAAGTCTAAAAGGGGGAGACCAGCAGGCAGTTAGAATGCAGGACAGTAAGTGTGGAGATAGAAACAGGCCAGGGTGCCATGGGAATGCACCTGACCCAGGCTGGAATGAGCCTCAGGCCACTGTTCACAGCTTGTGTTTAGTCTTCGGGTGAGGCTTGGTCACACAGGCCACCAAGCCACCACTCCTCTCATGGGGACTTTTGGGAAGCTTCTGAGAAGGAATGAATTACGTGTGGTCCCAGTACAGTAGTACTCTTCTAAGAATTCACAGCTCTTTTTCTAAACTGCAAAGGTTTTTAATGGCTGGCTGCTAAATTTTTTTCATATAGAACACCTGGATTCATGAGTTTCTTGGGAGAGAGGGAGAAGGGAGGCTCCCAATGCTTGACTTTATCTCGACCGTATCAATTCCTGGCCTTGTGGTCAGGCAATTAAGTTGTTGTTTCAGGTCAAAGAACAAAGAGGACATTGTTTACCCTTTTGTTGTTAACAAATGAGGTCTATTTCCAGACTTTAATCTCTGGACAAATACAATGAGAGTTCTTGCTGTCTTACAGGTGATAAACAAAGGACTCTTTTTCTTCGGATCACTGATAGTCATCAGCAGTACCTACCTACTTATGTACTGCATGTTACCACGACCTCTTGACTATGTGAGAAGACCATGGAACTGGATAGCTCACTTCTGGAACACAAAACATGTTTCATTTCATTAGCAGGTGATAGAAAGGTTTGAGGTAGCAAATTCTTGATTTCTTTCTCTGTGACCAAAATTAAGCATTAAAAAAAAAAAGTTTCTATTGCCATATTTGATTCACTAATGGAAGATAGTGGTCTGCTTATAATTAAACTTGATGTAGAAGTTCTCTGTATGTTAATTGCAATTACTAGGGGGGAGCCTGCCACATTTTAAAAGTTGAAACATGCACCTTCCCTACGTTGTGTACACTCAGGTTGAGTCATTCTCACTATAAAAGTGCAGTGACTAAGATCTTTCACTTCTCAAAAAGTAAGGCCCAAGATGCCTCAGGGAAGACAGCAATCATGCCTTTTCTTTAAAAAGACACAATAGAACTCACAACAGGATGTACTCAACACCTGGGATTAAAAATCACAACTTGCCTAGCATGTTAGTTGCACTTTTTGTCACCTGAATAGAACTTACCTAACCACAGGGCTCAGACTTACTAAATAAAACCAGAAATGTACATCGGGAATTCAGGGGAGTTCCAGAGACTTATAAAATGAACTTATTTTATTTTCTCATCTTCGAGTATCACTATTTCTATCTATCTATCTATCTATCTATCTATCTATCTATCTATCTATCTAACCATCCATCCATCCTCTATCTATATCTATCTATCATCTCTATTTATTTATTTATTTATTTATTTAGAGATCACGTCTCACTCTGTTGTCCAGGCTGGAATGTAGTGGCATGATCTTGGTTCACTGCAATCTCTGCCTCCCAGGCTCAAGCAATCCTCCCACCTCAGTCTCTCAAGTAGCTGGGGCTACCATGCCCAGCTAACTTTTTTTGTATTTTTCAGTAGAGACAGGGTCTTGCCATGCTGCCCACGCCGCTCTGAAACTCCTGGCCTCATGTAATCTGCCCAACTCAGCCTCCCAAAATGCAGGGATGAGAGGTGTGAGCCACCATTGCCAGCCCAGAATTATCCTGTAGAGATAAGAAAAAGGCTATTAATATCATACTGAGTAAGGGACAGGAAAGGGTTTTATTCATAAATTAAATGTCAACATATGCAAGAGAGTAGAAAGGAAACAAAGGGAGACAACTTTCATAGAAATACAAAGCCATTATTTTATTCCACTTCAGAATCTCGGAAGCAATTTAGTAATTTATTCTTGGACCACGTACTGTGGCAGAACCAGCAATATGCTCGATTTCTAAAAGCACATTTAGTGAAAACGTTTCTTTGGTTCTTCCTTCTTTAGCAAGCTGCTAAGTCACTTAGAAGTCCTTCAAACATGATTAATCATGAAGTTGCAACACTAGAGTCATCTAAGAAGTAAAAACTGGGCAATAAAATAAAATGATTCAGTGTTTCTTTTCTAAATTGTCAATGAAATCCTTGAGTTCTAATAATCCACGTTCAGTTTGTAGGGAAAAAATAATAATTTTTCCTTATACCCACTTTAGGTTTCTTGGCTGGGGGCCCTATAACAAAAGACAGACTAACAAGAGAAAAACAAACATAAGTGTATTAGCAGACATATATATATATGTGGGAAATACAGGTGAAAATACTGGGGAATGAGTAAATCTCAAAGAGCTGGCGTCTTAGAACTCCCTGGCTTATATAGCATCAACAAAGAACTGTAAATTTTTAGAGAAACGACAAAACACAGGAAAAGAGCTTTGCGTCTGTAGGAGCAGCAAATTGTGGGAAGCAAATCCATGGGAGTTTGCCACATAGATTCCCCTGGTGCTGGTCTCCAGGCTGATGAGGATTCAAAGTTGTCTCTGAAACTCCTGCTTGCCGTACTATATCTATAAAACGTCTTTTGTTTCCAATAAGAGAATTTTCTTTTTCATTCTAGAGTTATCTCCTTGATAATTTGATCAGACATAGGAACATGACAATGAATAGAGCCCAATAGTACAAAAAAATTCAATATGTTCTAGCTACTTCACACATGTATGTGACAGTTATTTTTACAGTAAGGATATTTTCAAGAAAAATGTATTACATGTTTTGGAAAATATAGTAAATTTAAAAATATATTTGAAATGAAAATCTCCAACACATTAGAAGATGATGATGCTAGATGCCCACCATGTGCCACTAGTGGTTTTTCATTATGTAAAGCACCCGTTGAATTAAAAGAATTTATTTTTGTTCAACCTCTTCCTGAGGCCCAAGAGCACGTGGGCAATTCAGATTTCCTGCTGGGCCACAAAGTTCTGTTGATATTACATAGAATGGGGATTCCAGAACACTTCTTATGATGGAAGTCTAAAAGCGGCACCCAGCATAAGGCCCCATCTGTCATTGCCATTCTTCATTCCTACAAAGGACGAACTTGGATCACATCAACTTTGGATCCATTGGTTTTGTCACTGTCGTCAACTGACAGTGAGTCATCACTGGTGATGATAAAAATGATGGAAGAAGAGTTGAAAGTCACTTTTTTCTTTGGCCTGTCCCCATCTTTCTGTGACATCACAATGGGTCTGATCTGCATTTCACTCCCAGCTGTTGGTAGGTCTTTAGCAGGCTGCTGGCACCTCAGCATTCGGAGACACAGGAGCTGCAAAAGGGATCTTCGAAACTGGGCAGAGGAAAAATAAAGTTGAATATTAAGTCAAAGTGGGGCACTAATCTGGATTAGCATTCAAGGAAATCAGTTGAGCTGAATTTGAGTTGTTTTTTGCTTGTTAGCAGGTGTGGATGTGGGGTTATGTGGTCATGCTCAGATCTACCTAAATCACCCCGGAGCTTTATGTCTTTTTTTGTTTTTGTTTTTGAGATAAAGTCTTGGCTCTTTTGCCCAGACTGGAGTGCAGTGGCACGATATTGGCTCACTGCAACCTCTCCCTCCCAGGTTCAAGCAATTCTCCTGCCTCAGCCTCCCAAGCAGTTGGGACTACAGGTGCACGCCACCACGCCCAGCTAATTTTTTGTATTTTTAGTAGAGCTGGGGTTTCACCATATTGGCCAGGCTGTTCTCGAACTCCTGACCTCGTGATCCACTGCCCTCAGTCTCCCAAAGTGCTAGGATTACAGGCATGTGCCACCGCACCTGACCAATGTCTTTTATTTATTCTGAATTCTTATTAACCAGACCATCTAGGACCATTTCAATACCTTATAATCTTCCAAGCTTCAGTCTGCACACACTATGAGAGCAGGTAGAACTATTTATTTAAGAGATTTCTGAACATTAAGTCAGTCCACAAATATTCAGTGGGCATCTACTAGGTGACAGCCACTGTGCTATAAGAGATGCTACAAGCAACCAAAACAGACAAGGCTCTTCGTGGTAGAGTTTACAGGCTGTTGTACTTGCTAATATTCCCTTAATTAGATGAAGGATTTTTTTTTTTTCTATCTAAATTCCTAATCAATTGGCGAAAAAATGCTATGGCAGAGAGTGCTAATGTCATCAACATACGTAATCTGGATAATATTTCTTGGCTTCCTATTGGCTTCTCCTCTCTGCTATTCCTCTCTACAAGAACCTAGGAGGCCAAAGTGTAATGATCATAATATCACACAATGGAAGGAACCTAGATTCCTAAATGACTGCATGGGACAGATACCATCTCCTCCACCCAGTATATTATTAGACCATGAACTGTGACCTGAGTGAGCAATAAACTCCATATGAATTCACTGAAATGTTAGAGTTGCTTGTTATAGTCGTCAGTCCATGACGACCAGTAAAACATAAATCAAAAGTTAATGTACGGCCGGGTGCGGTGGCTCAAGCCTGTAATCCCAGCACTTTGGGAGGCCGAGGCGGGTGGATCACGAGGTCAAGAGATCGAGACCATCCTGGTCAACATGGTGAAACCCCGTCTCTACTAAAAATACAAAAAATTAGCTGGGCGTGGTGGCGCGTGCCTGTAATCCCAGCTACTTAGGAGGCTGAGGCAGGAGAATTGCCTGAACCCAGGAAGCGGAGGTTGCAGTGAGCCGAGATCGTGCCATTGCACTCCAGCCTGGGTAACAAGAGCGAAACTCCGTCTCAAAAAAAAAAAAAAAAAAAGTTAATGTAATTGGTATCTCCATTATTTAGAGCGAAATAAATGTTGAATATATGGACTTTCTCAGATCAGGAAATATCAATTAAGAATATATTAAATAGCTCCATTGATTTCTGTCTTTTTTGTGTTTGCGTTTTGTTTTATAGAAAACATTACCTGATAATCTGTCTTCTTTGAGCCCCAATCTTACATAAGTTAGCATTTAGTTTACACTCACATTTAAAAATATTTATTTTTTCCATTTGATTCAAATATTTAAAAAATAAAAATATTTGTTTGAGACTTTATTCACTACACCATTGTTTGGTTAAGTGTTAAAGATACATTATTATTAAGGTTAAATAGAGTATGTATGCCAAAAAATGTTTTTCCATATAAATAGTAAGCCCTTTGAAGACAAGGACCATTGTTTTTATTTATTTGTTTTTGGGTGTATCTTTTAGACTTCCTGTTTAAAGTGTGCGCTTAGGAATCAGCAACATCAGGACCATGTGGGAGCTTGTTAGACGTGCACAATATTGAGCAACCATACATACTGAAGGAGAATATTCATTTCTTATGAGATTTCCAGTTGTGGGATATGCACATTAAAGTTCTAAAAGCCTTGATTTACAGCCCATTGGCTGAGAGAAAAAGTGCAACAAATAATTGTTAGTGAATATATTTTAAATTTGCCTGTTAAGACGGTGGTCCCTAAAATATCTTATTTCCTGACAGAAAATTAATTGAAGTTATAATACAGCTCACTAGAAAAATTCATATATGTGCATACTAAAAAAAAGTTACAATTTCCAGGGTTTCAATGGCTCTTCTGAGGCCAATTCAAGGAATAGTTAGGTCCCATGGACTCCAAGTTTAAAATCTCTGGATCAAAGGAAATAGACCAATTGAAAGCAACAAGAAAGGAAAGAAATACTGTCAGTGAGAGGAGATTAAGAGACATGAAAGTGAGTTTATGGAGAGTGTAAGCCAACAATATTCAAAGAAAAAGAAAGGCAAAAGAAGAGACAGGGAGATTTAGCACTCACATTCTTGAGCATTAGAAGTCACAGTGATTATTATTGCCTGTTATTATTATAACTGTTATCTTTAAAATTCCAATGGAGTAATGAAGCATTATCTTTAACTTTTAAATTCTCTGAAACTTAGAGGGCTCAGCTTTATATTAATCATTCTGTGGGCTCTCCTAGCAATGACTCACAGCCATCAAGTTGGAACCTTTCAACTACAGAAACAGATAAGAAAGTTGCTCTTCTTTTTGAGGCAGGGTCTTGCTCTGTCACACAGGTTGGAGTGCAGTGGTGCAATCATGGCTCACTGCAGCCTTGACCTCCTGGGCTCAAGAGGTCCCCTCACCTCAGGCTCCTGAGTAGCTGGGACTACAGACACATGCCACTATGCCCAGCTAATTTTTTTTTTTTTTTGAGAGAGGGGCATCTTACTATGTTACCCAGGTTGGTCTTGAACTCTTAGCTCAAGCAATTCTTCTGCCTCAGCATCCCAAAGTGCTGGGATTACTGGTGTGAGCCACCACACCCGGCCCAGGAAGTTTCCTGAACCAAATTAATTTAGGCTGGATATTTGCTGTGTCATGTGAATAATAACCCAGGCCAACTGCTACAAGTATCTATAACCCCAAGTGAGGAGTTATAAGCACTGGATTTGGGGATTTGAGCAAACTAGGCTCAAATCCTGGCACCAATATTTCCTGGATTAGGCAAGTTATTGAACTTCTCTGAACCTATTCATAACCCATAAATAAAACAAGAAATAATATTAGTGCCTCTTTTGTGGAGTTTTGTAAACTTGCTTGTAACTTGTTTGTAACTTGCTTGGTACGGTAAGAATTTTAAATGTATTATTAACATTGTAGCTGTTATTACTAGGGCATAAGATATCTTCTGATGAATTAAATATTAATTTTAATGGAATTTTATTAATTTTAATAGAACAAGTGTGAATATCTATGGGTAGTTCTTAGAATTGTTATTATTTTGTTTGGAAATAGTCTACATTTCTCCTTGATCCCTTTACATTCCTATAAAATTCTTGATTTGGTCTTTTTTTAAATTCGAAGCAGCTCTGAATCACCTCTATAAAAGTATCATGCAGTTTCCAACTCTATATCCAGGGTGAAAACCATCAGTTAATTGTAAAGCTTACCTTTCTGATCATGAAGACATAAATCACTGGATTATATACAGTGTTCGATTTAGCAAAGAGATAGGAAACAATAGATATTGTTGGAGTGACCAGGTGACCGTGCCCATTAACCACCAAGAAGCAGATGACGATATAAGGCATCCAACAAACCAGGAAGGTGAATATCATTAAAAAACACATTTTGGCCAGTTTCTTTTCATATTTTAAAATCTTGATCACTTGAATTGTCTGAAGATCTTCCACACAACGAAGCTACAGAAAGGAGAAAGAAAGGTTAAGTCTTTAAAAAATCAAAGAATGGTTTTCTTTTGGTGATTTTATAGCAGATATTCAGAGACCATTCTTGGCCCGATCTAAATGGAAAGAGAGCTGAATGGGACCTTGGGAGGCTGACTTCTGATTCGAGATTTGTCACTGAGTCCAGCCTCAACCTTGTGGGGCCTCAGTGTCCCCACGTACAACACGTAGTGGTTGAACTACATAGCCTCTTACATCCTTCAGTAGTTTTAAATGTTCTCTAATTTACTTAGAATAAAATGAATTATTTTGCCTAGATCTTGAAGCCTTTAAAAGATAGCCTGAAAGAGTTAAGAGTTACAATGAAATGTAACCAATTTCCCCATGATCCTGTGTTAATCCTTAAGTTCTCAAATCAGACTGCATACCCATGTCATCTCAGGAGTTCTGCAAGATGAAGCCTGCAGCTGGTCTTGATGAGAACGTAATCCCCAAATGAATTCCTACTGGAAACCAGGTTTTCAATTCACTGCTAATGACTATAAAGTAGAACTTCAGGAGGAATTTGTTTGTGATTGGTTTCAGCAGGGGCTCACTTGCAAAGAATAGCACTTGGTTAAACTCCAGAAGCCTCCTTCCTCTAAAATCGGCCTCTCTGCTCCCAGTTTGTTCCCATTAAAAGTATGGAGGAGTAATAATGTACAGTCTGAAAGTTCTTTGAGTTTCTTGAATATAAGTTTCTTTTTGCTATTTCTCCTATTATTATTACAAGTGCATTATAATAATACACAGGCAAAGAATATTGCTGCACACCAAAAATATGTTCCTAAATAAAAATAGTTATCTCTGAACATTGTAATAAGTTACATGAATTTTACTACGAAAATACAAATACTTCACATATTGATTTTTTTAAAGTAGTTGGCGTACTGTTGATACTTAGTATTGATTACTTCATGCTGGGAAATTTACTGCATTTCAATGAACTCTAAGTGTACCTTTAGTTCTTTCCAAAGAAATCATTTAGAACATGTGCTTAGAGTATTTAGAAATATATTTTAATTAAAATTCCTAAATTGCCAATATCCAAAATTACACTTAAGAAAGTATATTCTTAACAAAATCATGCATTCAGATTGACAAAGAATAGAGAGAAATAGAAAAAAATTTAAGTGGTTGATGTTTTTTAGGCTGGAGAGAATATGTGTGGGGAAGAGTGGGTATTAAATTACTGGTACTAGGTTAGTGCAAAAGTAACTGTGCTTTTTGCCATTAAAGGTAAACCTTTGAAAGTAACCTTATTTAAACGTAAACAATATTCCTTTACCAGTACGCCAATTACTTAAAAAACAATATATAAAGTATTTGTACTTTTGTAGTAAAATTAGTATGACTTATTACAATGTTCAGAGATAACTATTTTTATTTAGGAAGATATTTCTGGTGTGCAGAAAGGCAAATAATTTACCTTTAAATAAGGTTACCTTTAAACATTTACCTTTAATGGCAAAAACCATAATTACTTTTGCACCAACCTAATACTACTATTATGTGTGTACAATTCATTTAAAAATACACATTTTGGCCGGGCACTGGTGGCTCAAGCCTGTAATCCCAGCACTTTGGGAGGCCGAGGCGGGTGGATCACAAGGTCAAGAGATCGAGACCATCCTGGTCAACATGGTGAAACCACGTCTCTACTAAAAATACAAAAAATTAGCTGGGCATGGTGGCGTGTGCCTGTAATCCCAGCTACTCAGGAGGCTGAGGCGGGAGAATTGCCTGAACCCAGGAGGCGGAGGTTGCGGTGAAGCCGAGATCGCGCCATTGCACTCCAGCCTGGGTAACAAGAGCGAAACTCCGTCTCAAAAAAAAAAAAAAAATACACATTTTATTAAATGTGATAGAATATTATTCTATCTTCAAAACATCACTTTGGGGAAGCCTCCCTAGAGTTTATAGGAAGGCTGCGGGGTTTTGATAAAACCTCTAGATTTGGACTTAGAAGATCTAAGCTCATATCCCAGATTCGCCACTTTCGCTCTGTGATATTGAGCAAGTCAGTAACCCCCGTAAGAGCAAAGAAGAAAGGAGGTCAAAACAAGAACCCCTGTTAGAATTAACAGAACTTGAGTTCCATTTTCACACGTATGACTTTGTGGGGTTGTTTTTGAGGTTAAATACTTATTTATATTTGAACTAGATATGAAACTAACATACTCGTATGCATATATGTCCATTTATGATACTATAGGATATTTGGAATTGTCGTTATGGACTCTTCAGAGTTTCAATGAACAGGTGACATAACCACATCTCTGTTATTGCCACCAACCTCCAGTATATAGATCCAATGGTTTTATCTGTGCCATTTTCTGGGCAAGTCAGTCTTTATACCCTCTCACCATTTATCAAGGCACAGCTCTCATTTACCCATATTGGAATTACATGCATTCTAGAGAAGTTAAATAAATGTTGGCCTATATTTCCCCAGTTCCTTTTTGGCATAAGGAGAAGATCTTGACGAATGTTTTAGATTATTTGGGTTTATATATGTGAAGTTATTCATGATTATTTTTTACTTATCTCTATCAGGCCTCTTTGTTTCATTACTCTCTATTCCTTCATTCTGCTCATTAAATATTTTCCAAATAAAAAACTCTATTTCATGTCTCACCCTCTTTATTCAATCATTTGAGGATAGTTTTCAAAATTGCTATGGATAAAGCAAGGGCAGACGCACAAATGTGTCTTAAAGAATGAACCACCTAAAACAAATTCTTCAGAATTATCTGTTAAAATGTTCTCTGGCTATATAAATGGCTGATGCCTAGTGCTCATTAATCCAAGACAGCTGTAGATTTTCAAAGAATTTCACTGTGAATCTTCATTCTCAATTGAGTAGCTATATCTCCATCGTTGTTACGACGCACCCCTCTCTGAATAAGGAAATGGAGGCAAACTACTTGCAGTGAGCTCTCTGTTTACGTAGGTAGTAGCAAATTACCTAAATTACCAGTGCTACCCAAATTAAAGTAGCACTTTAGATCATGCAATCTAAAGTTAAATCTCTTCACCCTTTCACCCCTTCTCCTGTCTTCCCCTTTCTATGCCCTCTGCTTGTAACTCATTCCAAAAATAGTCGCTGATCACCTGCTACATGCAGACACTGTTCCAGCTACAGGTGGAAAAATACGTAAGACCCAGTCTCTGCTCCTGAGGAATTCGCTGTTTGGTGAGGGTGATGCACACAGAGCAGGTACAAGCTGTGGGGGAGGTAAGCAGGGAGGATGAGGTAGGTAGTACGCAGGATGGGTAACCGGTTCTGAAAGGTGGCTTAGAACAGGAAAATCCTGCTGTTAGCCTTGTGAGGGAAGGAGGAATCAGTCAAGTAAGGGGGAGAGACAGAATGTTCCAGAGAAAGGAAGTGTGCTAAAACAAGAGGCTAAATAACAAGTCCGTTTCTGAAAACAAGAAATATAACCATTGGCTGGAACCTGAGGTGGCAAGAGGAGGGGAATGTCGAAGAAATGAGGCTGGACAAATAGACAGGAGAGGCTACACGGAATCTGCTGGCTACATCCAGGGGCTTTATTTTTAATCATAAAGACAGTGGAACTTCTGAAGACAATACTTGAGAACAATTACTCTGGTGGCAATGTGCAAAGAATGGATTAGAGGAAAGCAAGAATTCTTTAAAGGAGAACTAAGGCTTTTTTGAATAGAGTATGCGGCAGTAAGAGAGGGAAAAATGAATATACTGAGAAATATAGGCCGGGCAGAGTGGCTCACACCTATAATCCCAGCACTTTGGGAGGCCAAGGTGGGTGGATCACCTGAGGTCGGGAGTTTGAAACCAGCCTGGCCAACATGGTGAAACCCCATCTCTACTAAAAGTATTTTTTGAATTAGCTGGGTGTGGCACCTGTAATCCCAGCTACTCAGGAGGCTGAGGCAGGAGAATCGCTTGAAGCTGGGAGGTGGAGGTTGCAGTGAGCTGATATTGTGCCATTGCACTCCAACCTGGGCAACAAGAGTGAAACAAGAAGAAAGAAGAAAGAAAGAAGGAAGGAAGGAAGGAAAGAAGGAAGGAAGGAAGAAAGAAAGAGAGAAAGAAAGGAGGGAAGGGAGAAAGAGGAAAGAAGAAAGGAAGGAAGGAAGGGAGGGAGGGAGGAAGGAAGGAAGGAGGGAAGATTTAAGTGACATGGGTAAGAGTTGATCAATAGTTGGCTGTTGCGGGAAACACAGGTGACGCATAGTCAAAGATTACTCCCTAATTTCTGGTCTTGGTAGCTAGGAATGATGACTATTGAATGAGAACGCAAACGGAGGGGTAGAGAATTTTAGGGAAAATATGACAAATTCATCTTTACATTTGTTAAATTTGATGAGTCTGTGGACCATCCAAGTACAGGTATTCAATAGGCAATTGACTACAAGGATCTGCTGGCGGCCAGAAGAGAGACCTGAACTGGAAATAGAGATGTGAAAGTTATCAGGCGTGTGTCAGAAGGAGAAATTCTGGGAGTACGAAAGGCCACCCAAGGCCGGTGTATAGCATGGGACAAGAGCTGAACACAGGATGCGGGGGAGCCCAAAGGAAGAGAAGCCCCTGGAAGAGATAAGAAGATGGGACCAGAGAGTCAGCAACAAAGACAGCAGAGAAAGGGGCCCTAGAATCAAAGGCAGGAGAACATCACAAGAAAGTAGAAGTTGTCAATAGTCTCGAACGCTGAAGGTGCTAGAAAGGAATAATACTGCCCATGGGATGACATATGTGGGAGCTCTTCAGTGACCTTAAATGAGAGCTGTATGATTCGCAGTGCAGTAGAGGAAAAAGTCACCGGTTTGCCTTAAGTTGAGGAATAAATGCTAGAAAAACTTACTAAACTACGAACTCTCTGAACTACAACAGAAATTTATTTCTCACAGTTTTGGAGGCTGGGCAGTCCCAGATCAAGTACCTGGCAAGGTAGTTATCATTCTGAGGCCTCTTCTCTTGGCCATTATCTCACTTTGCATTTCTGTGATCTCTTCTTTATGAACATGTGGGAAGACATAGAGAGAGAGAGAGAGAGCACTCTGGTGTGTGTGTGTGTGTGTGTGTGTGTGTGTGTGTGTGATAGAGTCTTGCTCCGTAACATAGGCTGGGGTGCTGTGGCATAATCTCAGCTCACTGTAACCTCTGCCTCCCGGGTTCAAGCCATTCCCTGCCTCAGCCTCCTGAGTGGCCAGGATTAGGGACACTTGCCACCACACCTGGTTAATTTTTGTATTTTTAGTAGAGATGGGGTTTCACCATCTTGGCCAGGCTGGTCTTGAACTCCTGACCTTATGATCCACCCACCTCAGCCTCCCAAAGTGCTGGGATTACAGTCATGAGCCACCATGCCAGGCCGTGTCTCTTCTTATAAGGACACTAATCCCCTAATCTCATCAGACCAGAGCCCCATCCTCATGACCTCCTCTGACTCTAATTACCTTCCAAGGCCCCATCCCCAAATACTGTCACATTGGTGGTGAGAGCTTCTACATAGGAATCTGAGAAAGTCACAGACATTCCGTCTATAACAGTAAGAAACTGGCACATTTTATATGCTCAGTAAATATTGGGTAAATGAATACTTACTGAGAATGTGGCACCGAGAGTCACCAATGGTTCTTTGAGTTAGCAGTGATAAAAAGGAGAAAAATAAAGTGACAGCTAGAGGGAGCTGAGAGTAGATTTTACATATATACATATGTAGTTAGAGGGGTTTGACCAAGTGAGCAGAGACTAAAGCTGTGACAGAAGCAGAGAACAGAGTTGGAGGAGTCCGTGAATGAGGAAGGAGAATGGGAAATCAACCCTGCTCCACACTTGGTTTGAGTTCAAACTAGCAAGTTCTTGTTGGCACCCAACATGAAATGGTTTGTTGTCAGTTCTTAACCTTTATGACCCTGGTGTGATTGCCAAACAAAACATCTGTGCTGTTCTTCAGTCAAATGCATGTGACCTTTGAATAAATACAGTTATAGGAAGTGTGGAATTCCCTTTTTGAAATTCTTAAATTTTAAGAGTATTGGATAATGTAGGGCTTTTTAGTTGCTGATTTTGTCATAAGATTTTTCCTTCTTTCTTTTGGCTGAGAGAGAGATATAGAGAGAGTGCGTGCTATTCCTCATTGATCTTTCCAGAGAGTGACTCACAGCGTAAAATTCGACCAAATGGGAAGTCCCCTAGAACTGCCCCACCTCTGGGCAACTACTGATGACACAGGAAGACTATTATTATTTTCCACACAAAATTTTCTACCCTGGATGTGGTTTGGGAGGGGGGAATCTGTAGTCTTCAACTCACCATTCGAATGGAATACAGAATATGGCCATAGCAATGGGCTATGACGCCCAGGGGCACCACCAGGCAGCCAAGAAATAAGAAAAGCACAAAGGAGGAATCGTTGGCATCCTTGGATTTCCAGTCCACAGTGCAGCCTAGTCCATGTACGTCCAGGATGTACCTGTTCCAGCCCAGGAGAGGCGCTCCTGCCCATGCCAGTGAGTAGAGCCAGATGTAGGTAATGGCCCTCCAGGCCCAGGAAAAATTGATCACTCTGGCATGGACCACGCGAATGTAACGTTCATAGGCCAGCACAGTTAGGGTGGCAATGGAAACAATCCCTGCAAGAAGAGAAAGTGGAAAAGTATAGCATGGTGCAGGGGAAACCAGACATAAGAGAGGTGATACATTCTCCACTGGAAATGCCTTACAGAGTATTTGAGACTCATAGAGTGCTCTAAAAGCCAAGATTAGTAATGTCTCATAGTCCCCTGGAATTCTATTGAAAACATATTACCCATTAAAGAAAACATAGAAGACCAGTGAGTGGCTCACGCCTGTAATTCTAACACTTTGGGAGGCTGAGGTTGGAGGACTACTTGAGCCTGGGAGTTCCAGACCAACCAGGACAACATGGCAAGCCCTGTCTTTACCAAAAATACAAAAATGAGCCAGATGTGGTGCCATGAGCCCGTGGTCCCAGCTACTTGGGAGGCTGAGGTGGGCGGGTCGCTTGAGTCCAAGGATGTCAAGGTTGCAGTGAGCTGAGATCATGCCACTGCACTCCAGCCTGGGCAGTAGAGCCAGACTTTGTCTCAAAAATAAATAAAAATAAAAATAAAAAAATAGAAGAGAAAAAAGAAAAGAAAACATAAAATAGCAAATGCCATGTCGATTGTAGTAGAACAAAAATTGAAAGCCCTAAATCAGCCCACCTCAAAGATGCCCCTATTGTATTAAACTTTCTCCTGAAGAGAAATCCCAGAATGAGTAAGGAAGAGTCTCTACAGCCAGTGTCTCTTGGTTTTACCTTCTCTTGGTGTCTCTGACTCCGCTGTCAGAGATAAAGTCAAAGGGGCTTGCAAATGTTCAAACTGAATGAAGTCACAGTAAAATGATACAGAGGACTGCCCTAACCTGCCGGCTACCAGCAGATGTCAGCGTACAAACTGTTCACATGCAAGAATTGCTGACAAGGGTCAGGGGAGTCTTCTGGGCTTCCATGATCTATCAGTAAAAAAATCTACTTTAATAACACTGTTTGTATATTTATCTGTTTATCTGTCATTCTTCAAAGACTAATCACTTAACAAGCACCTGCTATGTGCCAGGCACTATGCTGTGGATGTCCAAGGCTGACTAAGAGGCAGAACTCTGGATGTCTGAAGGGAATGTATTGACAATGACAGGGAACTCTGGATGTCAATACATTGACAATGTATTGACAATGACAATCAGCATGCAATGTGTGAATGCCACAGTTGTGACACAGTGGATTGGAGCCACAGAAAGGGAAGCATTTGTGCAGAAGTCAGGAGAAGCACATTCCAGGAAGAATGAAGAAATATGTACTGGAGCATGGAGATGTAAAAGGACATGAAGGGATCTATAAACGATGATCCAAAGATGCCAGGGCTCAGAGGAGATGGAAAGGGAAATTCAGAGCGAGCCACACTGACAAAGGCTTTTAATTTCTAGATAAAGTTTGTGTTATTTTCTATTTATTTACTTTTAATCTTTTTGAGAAGGAGTCTCACTCTATCACCCAGGCTGGAGTGCAGTGATACAGTCTTGGCTCACTGCAACCTCTGCCTCCCGGGTTCAAGTGATTCTCCTACCTCAGCCTCCTGAGTAGCCGGGACTACAGGTGTGTACCACCACACCCAGCTAATTTTGGTACATTTAATAAAGACAGGATTTCACCATGTTGATCAGGATGGTCTCGACCTCTTGACCTCTTAATCCACTTACCTTGGACCCCCAAAGTGCTGGGATTACAGGTGTGAGCTACCGCACCTGTTGTCTTCTTTGTTTATTTGTTTGTTTTGCTATGAAAATGCTTTATTAGGCAAAACTGCATACTATAAAAATGCTTTGGAATGCAACAGGAGGAGATGAAAAGACACAAAGAAGTGCGTAGTGACACATGGCTATCAGAACACACTAAGGAATGTACACTGCTCCCCACCTTTACCTTGAAAAGAAAGCTTCTAGGCTAGCTCCTCCCCAGCACACTGTTATTTTAAATGGTTTTTGTTTTTTAACCCTTTCCTTTATGAAATAGTAAACTATAAATCTGTTACTCTTTTGTCCTTTCCCACAATTAATTTTCCCTTTTCCTCCTCCTCCTTTTTCTTCTGAAAGGATGCTCATTCTAGCAGTAGTAGAGAATTAAAAACATGATTGGGAGCCATGGAAACTAGTTTGAAGGCCATTGTAACAGCAGGCAAGATACGATGGGACCTCAACTAGGGTGACATTAAAAGGCATGAACAACGAAGTCTGGATTCCAGAAACATTTAGCAACTGGTATCAACAGAATCTGTGTGCTTATTGAGTGTGAGGAGTTAGGGAAGAGAGGAGGTAAAAATAACTTGGAGTTTTTTGACCAGGTGCGGTGGCTCACGCCTGTAATCCCAGTACTTTGAGAGGCTGAAGCAGGTGTATCACCGGAAGTCAGGAGTTCAAGACCAGTGTGGCCAACATGGCGAAACCCTGTCTCTACTAAAAATATGAAAAATTAGCTTGGCATGGTGGCAGGAGTCTGTAATCTCAGCTACTTGGGAGGCTGAGGCAGGAGAATCACCTGAACCAGGAAGGTGGAGGTTGCAGTGAGCTGAGATCACGCCATTGCATCCTAGCCTGGGCGACAAGAGTGAAACTGTCTCAATAATAATAATAATAATAATAATAATAATAAAATAACTTGGAGGTTTCTAACCTGCCTAAGGAGTAGCAAGTGATTACATGAACTGAAGTAAAAACTACAAGGTGTATGAACAGATGTGGGGAAGACAATAAATACGAACTTCCTAGGGCATAAATATTTTTGAAAGAATGGCTGCAGAGAGAATGAAGGAAAAGCAGCTCAAATGAAGAATGAAAATAAGGCTGGTCTCCTGAGAAAGAGGGGAGAAAAGGGCGTGGGCGGCAAACAGGTTAAGAGGCCTGGAGCCAAGTCCTGGCTCCCCATGAAATAGCTCTGTAACTTTCAGCAAACCAAACAATCTCTTAGACCTTTTTCTTTTCATAAAATTGAAAATCCCTTCATATTTTAACATTTTGTGATTCACAATTTTGTAAGCATGAAATAAAGAGGCCCTGGACTCAGAAAGCAATTGGCATAACATAGTTAATATTCATTTCTCCCATGATGGGTTTTTTTTTGTGGAAGTTGGAGGGTGGGGAGCAGTATCATACCCAGTGTCTGACATGCATGGCATCCAATAAATTTTCATTGAATAAATAAGTGAATGTTTACTAAATACTCAAGTGATCAGAAGAAGATTGGGTTTTGGAATAGAGTGGAAGAAAATACTTCAGAAAGTAATGATATAAGGCTAAGCATGGGTGCTCAAACCTGTAATCCCAACAGTTTGGGAGGCTGAGGCAGGCAGACCATCTGAGGTCAGAAGTTCAAGACCAGCCTGGCCAACATGGTGAAAACCCATCTCTACTAAAAAAACAAAAATTAGATAGGCATGGTGGCGTGTGCCTGTAATCTGTTACTTGGAGGCCGAGGCAGGAAATTTGCCTGAACCTGGGAGGCGGAGGTTGCAGTGAGCCGAGACTGCACCACTGCACTCCAGCCTGGGCAACAAGAGCGAAACTCTGTCTCAAAAAAAAAAAAGAAAGAAAAAGAAAAAGTAATGCTATAATAGCAAATAATGGATTTAAATTCAAATCACAGTAGTGATGATTGGGACAATGAAAGGATCCATTATTTGCTATTAAAATTTTATCTAAAAAGTATTATCTTTTCTTTACCTGATTGTATTCCTAGAAAAAAAATCTACAAACCTAATAATAGCTCACTGATGTTGAGCCCTATCAACTGAAATAAAAACTACATGGTATACGAGTAGATATGAAGAAGACAAATTCTCCTTCAAATGGTGCATCCATTTCCGCTAACGCTGAAAAGCAAAGGAAATGACACGTGCTGCAAACTGGGTGCCGGTTATACACCAGGTTCTATGATCATCACTCTACATATGGTAAACACTCTTCTGGAAAGAAGGTCTGTGTCTCCAAGGGTTAAGAAATTAATTGATGCCTCCAGTTTTGAGAACACAAGACTTACTCCAAATCCCGTAATTTTGCCTTAATACCACCTGCTGCCACTAGAGGGTGACTTCCACCTCCCCACAAATTCTGCCAGTGGTGTCTGTGCCTTCACCGCAAAGCTGCAGATTCATCAGGTATTTGCCTATCACTGTGCTGAGTAGGGCTTTGGGAGAAACCAAAGACACGTTGTCCCTATTCTCAAGAAGACTGCAATACTGTATTTTTATATCACAAACAACATTAGAGAACAATGCAAGATGATACGTGATCATGTGTAAAAGTTACGATGCAAAAACAAACCAGAGAAAGTAAAATTCCAGTGGACTTGTGGCTTCATTAAGAGATAAAGCTTAAGTTGGGTCATAAAGGGTGGAATAGGTGTTAAGGAACAGAAAGGAATGAAATGGGCATTTCTAGCTGAAAGAGCCTCCTTGAATTATTGCAAGAGTGCCTTGGACTCTGGGCATGAAGCCAGGATCAAGTGGTGGGAAGGTCAGTCACTACAGGGGATGGCACAAAGCTGATCTGCCTTTCGTGGCTGCCCATGGTCCACAGCAGGGATCTTTCTTCTTTTTCTTACATTTTCCCTAGTAAAATTTTGAAAAACCATGTATGCCACCATATTTAAAGTGTGACATCTACATTTTTTGTCTTAAGTTTAAAGAATTGTGTAATATAAACATTTCAAAATCGGAACCACTGGAAAGGGCTTATGTACCCCCAGAGGTTTTGAAGACAGCAGTCTGTAAAGTCAGATCTCGATGGCATATCATTAGGGTTTGCCTAAGCTTGCTGCATCAGGATACACACCATGCCCAGGCTACAAACTGCCCACCATGTTCTCGCAGAGCTGGCAGCTTTGATACTGCCATTCCTTCTGCCTGAATTGCTGCCAAGATCTCACAGTCTGGAGAAGACAGATGTGTAAACAAACAATTACAGGAATGTGATAAGAGTTAAACAAAGCTGCGTCAGAGAGCTGGAGAATGCAATGGAGGAAGTACTTATCTCTGCCTGGGGAAATATTGGGGAAGGTTTTAAGGGAAAGCAATAT